TAGAGGTGTGCAATGGGAGAGTTTTTAGTCCACTTGAATGAGCGGGTGGGTTCTTAAAACAATTGGCGGATGAATTTGAAAAATTTTTAGGGTAAATTTTTATTTGAAATACACATTTTATAAATTTTAAGTAAAAATAAAATACATTAAAATAAAATACATAGAGCCAAACTAACCAATAAAATAATTTTTACACATTTGGCGGTTGGGTTAAATAAAATTTTTAAATAAATTTGGAGAGCGGGTGAATGAATTTTGAAAACAAATTGTGAGCTGGCTGGCGAGGGGTTAAACATTTTTGAAACAATGAGCGGGTGGGCGTTCGGGTTAAAACCTGCCCATTGCAGATCTCTAATATATATTACGCTGGTATTAATGTGCCATTTTTTTTAATCAATTATTGGGAGCGATTAACAATCATCAAATCACCATTTTTTGTTCTATATCGGATCGGCTTTTAAACCGATCAATATCAAAAAACCATACCTAAATAATGAGAATGATGTATTTTCGCAGCCATAAATTTGATTTATACTTATTTAGAGCTCAAGTTAGACAAGCTAAGATTTTTGGCAAATCCCAGTTAGTTTGAGAATAAATTATATATTAAAATTCACCCATAGTTTGTTTCTTTAATAAATTATAAAAATTTTATTTCAAAACTCTATATTTATTCAAAATATAATTATTTTTTATTAAAAAATTTTTAGATACTCTTAATCATATTAAATATCCGTAAGCTACTAAAGAATGACGTACAAAAGTTCACACCTAAAAAACGTGTCCTAGCTAAAATCCCCTTTTCCAGCTTTAGTTCTTGTGAATACTTTGTAGATACCGAAAATCAAAGTTTCTACTTAATCTTAAAGTATGGCATAGAGCATTCTAAGCATTAATTTGGCGAAAGTTTTCGGTGCCTTAGAGCTCAAATTAGATGTTTAATTATTCATATTATCTAACTATATTTATCAGAATTTTTTTAATGTCATTTTATCAATTTGTTTTTATCTTATACATCCAAAGTTAGTTTACTTTTTATAAAATACTACCTTCGACTATCGATTCACTCATTAAAATTCATTTTAAAACTTGTTTGAAGGTAACAGCCATTTAGATTTTTTATATATTTCTAGTTTTTAAAAATAATTTATTTTAACTAGATTTTTTAAATTTAGAAATAAAGTGTTAACTTTTTCAGTTAGTTTTAAAATAGGCTAAATAAAATATATATGTCATATTGGGTATTAATTTAGGATAATTCAATTTTAATCATATACTGAGGGCAAATTTATCTGATTTGACCGTCTTACATGTTTAGAGCATCCTGGAGTTCCAAACAATTTTGCCTAAAACTTTTGAAGTGTTTAATTTTTTTTAATCAATTTTTATATAGATTTTTTATATAAATGATAAAATACTGCTGATATACCATTTGTACGGTTCAGTCCGGATTTTTTTAATATATATAATACATTATTTTTATTTTATATAACTAATAATAGCGATTTAAATTTTTCGGTTTTAATATATATGAAAAAAAAATCCGGGCCCGTCCCGGGTAAAAATTTTTAGGCCCGACCCGGATATATTTAAAAAAATTAAAATACTACCCGGCCCATGCTCTGAAATATAGCGTTTCATTTGAATCAATCGTTCCTGTAGAACATTTTGGAAGATATTTTTGAGAAAAAGAACTAATATGACTAAAATGGTTTATTGTAAAATCAATTAGAAATTTATGCCCAATTTTTTAAAATAAATAAATATTATAATTATTTATTTTTTATACGACAAACCAACCAATCAAATCATTTTTAAAATTGGGCAGGAGAGTTAAACAAAGTTATAAATAATTAAGCGGGTGGAATAATTTTTTTCTACATTTTAAAAGAGTAGTGTTGCGTTGGCTAAAATTATCGCCATTTTTTCAATATAAAAAACCCGGGTGAGCCGTTTTGGAGTCGGCTAAATTTAACCGGTTACGCAATCATAAGCGAGAGTTAAATTATTACTTAGAGCAATGAGAGGCGGGTTAAAAACCCATTCAAAGACGTCTAAAATATAGATAACGTTACATTTCTATATTGCTAATTCAAAAATAATATAATTATACTTTTTACATGGATTTAAGGAATAAGATAATAAGGTGACAATTGGCAAATGTCTTTTAAAAATTTATCTTTACCAAAAAAAAATTTAAAAATTTATCAAAAATTCAATTACCCATTGCTTATATTCATGTAAATGTAACCATTATAAACTATGACTATAATGATAATATAAATAAATTATATCACGTTTTTGATGTAACTTCTTTTACAATGAGTTTTATAAGAATAAAAAGTATATAGAGATTGACCGATATCGATATTATAAATGGGATATAGATAGGAAGGTATAATTTTTCCCAATTTATTTTTCCCGAGAATAATAGATAGATATTTTGTTAAAAATAATATTAAAATTTTTTTACAATTCTTGACTCATTTTTTTTTTTTATTATTATTGAACTTTCAGTATTTTTCCTAAAAATAACTATAAAAATGGCAAAAATCAAATGTCAATTATTAAATCATTTTCTTTTACATCTCTCAGGTGCAATTTAAAATCAGCCCTTCCTACTTTTCAGGAAATAAAATTAATATTTTTTATCATATTTAATTAAAAAATAAAATTTACTTTATTTTTTTGAGGGTTTGTGATTTAAAAATATTTTGATTTCATCTTGAGAGATTTTTATGCATGCAAATTACAAAAGATTTACTTATTAAAATTTTTTTTCTACGATTCTGATACTTTTTAAGTGAAATTTGTCTTTGTTTTTTATTTTAAAAAAATTTCTTGAATATTTTTTTTTTAAACTTTGATATTTTTTTATATAAAAATTAATCATAATATGCATAACAGAATGAAACACTTGACAGCAAAATTGTTAAATCGTAATTATATAATCGATCAAACCGATTCAACACTTCCCCTAAATGAGAACGATAAATCAAAGCGGTTAATAGAAACATGTAAAGTACCTAATTTATCGGGAACGTCTAACACTGCAATAAATAATTCGTTAAAATCGGAATATGCCGCCAGGACTTCTGAAATAAATGACAATAAATCTATTTATAATGACGATAATACGACATCTCCCATCCAAAAATCGATAATAGATCCTGAAGCAACTATAAGATTTAGAAATAAAAATTGCAAAACAGATAGCGATGATTGTTTTTTAGTAAACGCTATTCCCTTATTTAAATTCGCGGAAAAGGATGAATCTTCCGATTCGGGCCTATATGACATGAGCTATCGGAAATTAATAATGCCAAATGATCATGAAGCCATAGGAGTTGGGGAGATGGAAAAAAAGCACAATGAGAGCAAGTCTCTAACTTCTTACAATTCGGAGGAGGAATCGAGTTATAGCGGCATTACATCAAATTCGTTTATACTGCCCTACAATAAACAAAAACATCCCCGGTCTTCATACAAGGATAACGGTACGGACTATATCAAAGTTAATCAAATAGAAGCCATCATCGAAAATCCCGCTTCACGTAGCCCACCCTTTATTCCGAATTCAACCCGAATTTACGAATCCCTATATTGCAAAAGGTTACCTCTAAACATAAATCGTGGGTATGTACCATCCAACACTCCCTCCGACGTATACGAAGATATCACTGAAGTTCGAAGCAGCTACGACAACCCTTGTTACGATTTTTATATACCATGCAAATCTAGAGAAGAAATCGAAGCTAATATCGAGATGGACGATGAAATCGAATCCATAACATTATGCGATCCTAAAAACATTATGAAGAAGTTAAAAATATTAGATCGCAACGTATCGGAGGGCATTTACGATACGAGCCTGCCAAATCAACTCTCTGGGAAGGATCTAAAATTCGGTGCTGAAAAAATGGGTCCCAAATCTTATCAAGGCAATAGCACGATATACGAGACTATTTCGTCTCAAAATTCTCTGACAAATACTATCGATTCAAATGAACTCAGACATCCAAGATACAAGTATCGTAGAACATCAGCTTCCCCATTTACTATCGAGAGAGACCTCTTAAATAAAAAATTTCAGACCAGATACACACAAAATATTAAGAAAAATATGGCCTTTCCAGCTGCTAGAGATGTCACGAATAACAGGATTTCGTCGAAATACTTGAAATCTCAAATGTGCGAGAAAACTTCTAATTACAAATATTGGGCTAATTCTTTCCATAATCTTTCACCGCTGTACGACGAAAACCCTCTTCTAATGGATTCAGCCGACAAATCAAAAGCACTTTTATGTTATTATGACAATCATCAGCGCAGCATGATAAATATTTCAAATGCTACAAATTCTAATCTGTACCATAGCAAACATTATTCCTATTCTAGTTCCATGATAGAAAAGTTGGGCGCTTTTAAAAATGTTAAAAACCTGAGCCCGCTATATGATTATAATGGCGACGAAGTCCTGAAACCATTAAAAACAGGACACAATAGTTATTTACTACCAAATGGTTACGAAAATAGGAAGGCCTTTTATTTAAGTAACTGGAGTTTGTTGAGACCTCCTAAGCAACAATTTACGGTGAGATTTGACGATAGTCGTTTTAATACCGATGGCAGACTTCATAAATATTATTACCCGATTGAAATTCCGTATGATAATGATCATAACTATGGAAATTCAATCATTAAAGGACTCAAAAAAAGAGCCAATAAACTATTTCAAATGTTTAATAAGTCAAAATCGTTTAAAGCTGTGTAATTTTTATTTTTTTCTTATGATACTTCTAACGATTATAGATTGAACATAATATTTAAAATTATTAAATTTTTATTTATAATTACGGTGCATAATAGTGAATTTATAATAAAAGCAATTATCAATTTCTTAAACAATTATGTAGATATGATTTAGGTTTGTTTTTTTACCTAGAGTTAAGAAGTAATTTATAAAAATTTAGATCTATAATATCTCATAAATTATAATGTTATGTAATAGGGCATGATTTCAAACTAATATCTCCATTCCTCTCTTTTTCCGATAAATTTACAACTTGAGCATTGAAGGATATCTCTTTAATGCAACCTACATAAGAATTTCTGTTTTTAAGCCCAGGGTTCCCCATATAATCGTCTAATTAAATAGTTATGTAAAAGCTGTAAGTATGAATATTTAATTAAACCTGGCACTGCTCCCATGTACAATTTCCCCTTTAATACTTTCAATAGATCTTGGTAATTTTCAGTGGGTTCAACGAACTTACCATCCAAACTCAAAGTCGCTATATTTTGGGCTTTTATAGCTATTCCAATTATTATGTTTTTAAAAAAAATTATTTTTTTAAAAAAAATGAGCCAAAAATCAATCAAATATAAAATATTTGTAATCCATTATTTAAAATATCGAAGATAAGAATGTTTTGATTCCCAGTTTAATCAAATCTCTTTAAAAATTATATTTAAATAACCTTCTATAGAATGCCACCGTCCATCGCAAATGTTTATGTCGCTCTTCAATTTAGGAAATGTAGTCTTGACGGGACCGTGTCCCATATCAAAGCTAAATACCAAATCACCGTGGTCAAGTTGCAAATTCATATAGAGACCTTCCATGGACGTTATGGTAAATATGGTCCCTGTCATAATACGTGGTTTTATTTCGACCTTGATGTTTAAGATTTCTTCTACCGAAAAATCATCTAAAAGCATATATCACAAATTAATCGTAATTATGTATACAAGTTAAAAGATTGTATATTTAAGTTACCGATTATAACATAGGATTTCTTTCCTGGGAAGAATACACCGGGTTCGGCTAAGGCATAACATTTATCAATATTATATTGCCTCGTTGGAATACCTAATGGTATCGAATTTAACATGATTTGCTTTATGCAACCTTTATAGTTATAGTTTTGCTAAATAAAAATGAGAGATATTAAATATAGTATATTAAAAATATTATTTGGTAAAAGTTTAACCTTGATAATCGACATGTCAGCTGTTTGAGCGATATACTGAGGTATTCCACCCACAAAATATGGAGCACTTATATTTAATGTTCTTGGCGCATTTTCAGCTTTGCATGTACCTGACAATTCCTTGTCAACTATTAACTCACCTTTCCCTGCTTCCCTTTTGAAAATTATGCTATGCCAGGTGTCATCATCTAGTCGTTTGCTCTCTACGGGAGATTTTATAATACAAGGTGTACTATTAGTAATAAAAGCATAGACTAAGAGTCCAGAATCCAATCCCAAGTATATGTAATCCCTTTGGTTGTTATTAGCAACGTAAAATATTATTCCAGAAGGTTCTTGGGTTTTTATTTTGATCGAAAATTCGTGCCTATGAGGGATAAAGTAGTATATTTTTATTTTATTTCGTCATGAATTTAGATTAAGCTAGTTTATAAAAAAAATTCAATATTTTACCTAAATTTGTGTTTAGCAGGAGGACTATCGTATTCTAATCTACTTCCAGGCTCTTGAAAACTAAATCCTGTATCAGCATCTATTTCTGATGCAGAAAGTTTAGCTGGTTTCAAAGGGAGTAAACATTCTCCATCAAATTGTTGATTGATATCTAAAGTTAAAAATAATTACAGATCACTTTTTGTTTTGTTTTATTTATCGAAAATGGTAATATTATTTTGATTTATGTAACGCACCACGGAAATTATTCTGAAAATAAATCGCTGGAAAACAGAATGGTGAATATTTTATTTGTGACATCATGTTGTTTATCAGTCAGAAAGAACAACATTATAATGAATGTTTGGGAACGAGTAATAAAAAATGATAATTAATAAGATGGATCTTTTGTTTGGAGTTAAATTCCCAATAAAAAAAATCTAGCGAGAAACAGTAAGACTAAGACATCGTTCATTAATTAAGGCAAGGCGTAGGATCAAGCTGGCGGATTATGTGGAAGGGCATTTGACCTCGACCCCATTCCCCGAATAATTTCGTTAAAATTATAAGTCGGACTAAATATGATATCTGTATCATAATACTTCAATTTAAAAGTAAAAAATATTGATAAATAATAGAATATGTAATTTTGTAACTAACAGGCCTAGCCGGTCACAAATGACAAGAAAGTTATGAATCATAAATGAAGAAGATTTACAAATGATGGTAAATCTAAAATGGAGAAAAATGACAAATGGTGGTGAGTCTCAAATGGCCAGGAAAAAAATGGTGTTGCCGAGCTTTGCAGATCTCTATATAACTTTTTTTCCTGTATACAATTTGATTTTCAAAGATAATTTTAATCAACGAAATATTTAAAATCTGTTGTCTCAAAATATTGACTGAATATTTTTAACTCCTAAAAAAATTCACCCCCCCCCTTCTTCTACTTTGAAATAAAATCATTAATAAGCCACTCCGATTAAGTTTCAAAGTATATATGGTGAAGTTTGAGAAAAGAAAAGATTCAAGAAGTATACATAAAAATAATAGAAGATTGGTAATAAAGAAACGATACTTAGAAGTAACGGCTGAGCCTGCATTGGGTTGATTTGAATCATGTGGCATATTTAGGCTCATTTTTATTTCTAATAGTGTTTGATATGCATATACCGAAGACCTGAATTTGATATTCCAATGGCAAAACATTTTTCGACGATGTATCATTAATAAGGTAATGACATATAAATTGGGCATGAGACTAGAAAGTTTCACGAAATGGGCTGAAGTGTCCTTAGCATAGTGATGGCAAGTTGAATCATGGTAGTGCTCTAAGACCAAATCCGAGTCGACATGAACTTGTTTCGATCAGACTAGGGCAAGTATTTTCAGAGGTTCAGTCGGATTCGATATTTATTTGGGATAAAACTCGTACCACAGCAATAATCACTCAAATTTCATTTAAAAATAATATACTTTTTTCGACAGTCCAATTAAAAAAAATAGAATAGGGTCTATTTTTAAAGAAGAAATTTATGATCTTTGCATTTTGATTGGGTCGGGCCTAAAAATATAAGGCTTTAATTTATGTAAAAAGGGCTAAAATTTCCTGAAGAAAGAGAAAAGTTAAGTAAAATATTCCTACTAAATAGAGGGATCAGTAACCCAGTGATTAGGCCGGAAATTGATATAAGTTCACATGGATGTTAGGTAAATCTAAGGAGCATGTAATAAATGAAGTCAAAAGGTAAACCTTCGCGATCAATCCAATTTATTTTAAAATTAAGGAAAGTATATTACGTTATTTGGCCACGTAGAATGTAGAGAGAGGGATATATTGGAAAATAAATAACGGGGCTAAAAGTTGGAGGCAAATAAAATGGAATGGTATTATTATTAAAGACTTGCAGAGCTTAAGTTTAACGGATGGAATGATTTAGCGAATGACAGAAAAGCCTGGAAGACGGTAAATAAGGGAACAGAGAATAATCAAACCCTTCGCGTTAATGATATTATATTGAATTGTTATTAATATAATTATTTAAAAAAATATTTAATTAAAACATAAAATTCAACTTGTTATCTTGGACTTTGGCAAAGAATAATTTAAATAATCGTCTTGGCATTCTCCTATTAATACATTTGGGCGGTTTTCTGGATTTATATAGGTGAAATCGAGCAATCTAACATATACATTGTTTTTAAAAAGTATTTATTATATGTATATAATTTTAATTTATTTTATAACTCATTATTAATGAAGACGTCACTCAAGCAACCAGCAAAGTAGAGAGATGAATCCGGAGCACCTGTAAAATTGTCTACTACCGCATGGTATAATGGTGAGATGCCTCCAATAAATAAAGGTGATGTGGTATCTATCTTCTGGTTAGGTGCTGGTATACCATAATCGACTAAATCATCAATGTTCAGATGTAAACTTAAAAAATAATTCATTTATTTTAAATTTTCGTTTTGTTAATAATATAATATTATGGAATAAATCATTTCTAATTGATAATTTTACCTTGTTTCATTTTTGATAGCGTTTAAATTATGCCACTGCCCGTCGTTGAAACTTTTATTCGCATCATAAGTTGATAGAGTGTAAGTATTCTGATTATTTTTACTTATTAGTACCACATTGCCATTCAATATGACGAGGGCAAAAACGTCGCTCTGCATTTAAAATTAAATTGATAAGAAATAAATTATTTTTTTTCAAAAAAAAATAATGGCTTTACCCTATCTTGATTGGCGGAAAACACTAACAACGAACTTTCGCTCAAAGTTTTGAATCTCATATTCAATTTTATCGAATAATTAATGTATCCAATCGGTAATTGGATATAACCTTTCGAATAAGGTGGAAAGTTAACTAATGCGCTATTTATAGATGAACAACCGAGAGAAACTCCGGGATGGGGTTTATTCCCAAAATCGATGTAATTTTTTCCTAGCTGAATATTCATTAAACAACCTTTAAATTTTTTATGAGTCAACCCCAAACTGGATGCGAGACTATCTGGCACGCCTCCGATATAAATGTCCTCTTGTATCTGTAAATGTTTGTGCGATCCGGGAGATTCCGTTTTAGCGACTAATTAAGTAGAAAAAATATATATAAAGTAAAAATATATTTAAAACCCTCTTCTCCATCCAACTTCAAAAGCGCGATTTTTCCGTCACGATCGGCCTCTAGCGTATGCCACTCACCATCATCGACCCTAACTGTTGTTACTAAAACTGTGGATCCTGAACCAAGGTTGAAATGGTATAATATCAAACCGTCGTTCATTTCGATTGCTAAATAATCTTTCGGGTAATTGTTATATCCCTTCGCGTATAAGATTAGTCCGTTAGGAGAGAAGCTTTTAAAGCTCAATCCTAAATGACTTCGATTCATGGGATTATATTTTCCTTAATGTATATTAGTGTTTTACATATATTATAATATGAAAAAATTTATTCATATTAACACAAACCTTTCGATACAGTTGTGAAATCGGTCCCGTCAAAATTGTAAGCTTTGCTAGTGCCCAATCCGTGTTCGTGCTGATAAGATTTTGGCTTACTAAGATGATCGATTTTTTGAGTCGAAACATGATAAGTTGAATTATTGGCATGGGAATAAATGGACTTCGATTCGTAGACCTCGTTAAACCACACCTCGCGTTCTTTACACGCTTTTATACCATCACTTGCTTCTGCGAAATTCCATAGACTTAATAACTGTCGATTCAGCATTAGAGAATCCAAGCATCCTTTAAAATTTCTAGGATTACCTAAAATATCCGCCAATTTTGCATTGAGGGGTAGGCCTGCGACATATATTTTGGTATTATTGTTATCAAAATTGAGAATATTGTTGGGGCCCATGGCCGAGCCTTGGGCGATATCAATATCATCAGCTATGTGTCTATTCTTTTGCTCGTTGGATAATGTTGGTTTAGAATTTATTATCAGTTTTCCTTTAGTCCCAGCACTGCAATATTTAAATGATAATGTAAAGGTTACTGTAATTTCATATTTGTTTGCTATGAATTTGACAGTAAATCAGGGCTTAACAAAAAAATTTTAAATGAGAATATATAAAAATTTCGGGTTAATCTTTGAAGTTTTTTTTTTAAAAAAAAGGATAAAAATCCTTTTTACAAAATATTTATTATTTCATCATGAAAGATTCTTTGTGCATAAAATCAGTAAATTTATTTATAAAAGATTTTTTTTTACAAAGTGGAATTTTGGCAAAATTTGATCAAAAATACTACATGAGCATTCTCAAAAAATATTTATTTTATCCTAAAGATTTTTTTTTATTTTAAGCAGTTTGTAAAATTTCACAATAAATATAATCATTTAGTCTTGATAATTAATATGATATCATAAAAAATATTAACCGTTCTGCTTGAAATTTATGCCAACGATTATCTGCAGCATATTTTCCGCTCGTAATTACAGCCGGTCCATTACCGAGATCAAAATAAAATTTCGGATATCCGTTTTCGATCAATAGAGCAAAAAAATCCTATATAATATAAAATATTTTTTAAACAAAATTTTTTAACCTAAATTAAACTCGACTCTCAGGGCGTGGTATATATGATAACAAAGAAAAAGATAAGATTTCAGATCTCATCTCTCAAAGGATAGATGAGAAGATAGTAAAATTTGAATTTTGAAAGATTGTAGCAAAAGGGAGTGGAGGTACAGAACGGATGATGGGAGAAGTCTAATGCTTCAAAGGGGAGGGAATATCTATGGAGATGGCGCTGACAATGGCCGTGTGGCTTTATCACCGTTACCCTGCATTCACAGTTAGCGGGCTAACTGTGAATGCAGGGTTAAGCGTCAAAAGTTTGAGGTTGGAGGAATGACTTCCGGGCGAATAAGAGTTAGAGTTTGCGATCCAACTGGAATATCGGAATTATCAACCCAGTAGTGAAGTATAACTTAAGCCATTATTTAAAAGGGCTAATTCAATATTTTATATAGAAAAATATTATGCAAGCCTGAAAATTTTGCTAAAAGATGGCACAAAGTTCTGGATATCTATTAGCATCTCGAGGTTTAGGCTGAAATATTGAGTTAGCCGTTTTAAAAATAGCCAAAATCTATCAGTTTAACAACACTACCCAATAAAGAGGGGAGGAGACGTCACGTCAGTCTTGATTAGCATACGAAGATGACGAGACGAAAAAAGAAGAGAGAACAAGGAGTAAACTATAAACTGATTGGATATCACGTGTTATATATAGCTATATAATTAAATTTTAAATTCTTCTTTTTAACCTAATTACTATTAGGGAGATTTATAATTAAATCAAATCCATTTTTTTTTTTACTTTTACGGGCCTCCTTCTTATATAAATTACAATTTGTAAAATGTATTTTTTTAGTTAGCTATATAACATTGTCCTTTTTAAATACTAATTAGACCGACGGTGGCCATTTTGATATTCCAAAAGAACCCTATATGTTTGCAAAAGGTTAATAAGTGACTAAAAGAGATATATGTAAACTATACCATATTATCTCTACATAAAAATCTTAAGGGGTCGGGTTGGGTGTGTAGATGATTTGGCCAACACATATTTCACCATGAAATTATTTAAATATTATTGATAACTCTAGAATATACTTTTAATTTAACTGTATAAAAAAAAATAACGCACATAAACATTAAAATATTTAAAAATACCTGAGAACTTGATAGGGGAGAATATGGTAAGCCAGCGTAAAAAAGAAGTCCATTTTTAGCCCCTGTTTTAAAATAACCTTCCAAATTGGTATGGGATGTAGCTTCCGTCAAATGTTCCGGATTTTTCAAAACAATATATTGGGATCCAGTAGTCGCCACGCCTAGATTGATTTGTTCGGCTTGCACTCGTGCTTGACTGATCATTTTGAATAAAGAATCTATCTCATCCTCCAAAACCCTATTAGATTGATCCATATGCTTGATCCTGTTTTCTAATAGAGAGGCACTATTGGCGATTTTGGGCAATATGTCTACCACGTCCCGTACTAAAAAAAATTCATGTATCATTTTAAAAAATTACTAACATATCATCATACATATTCAGTTGTATGTTTATTATTTACAACCTATAATGATTTTGATTTGGTAACTCTATATAATATATTATTAATAAAGTAAAAAGACTCCAATTGAAAAAAATATTAACTTAACACTATTTTAGAAAATTTCAAAAATACCTAATTTGATTTAAAAAAGTTAACAGGTAAGAAATATATCATTTTATTAGTGTCTAAAAAAATAATAATGATCGTGAAACACATACTTTGCCCCATCATTTCTTCACCCCCTTTGGATGTCAAATAGCTTGGAGTCGATTTAAGCATATCCATAGTTAAATTCAGGTGTCTGGACAAATTTTTAAAGCGATCGCTAATTTGATCAGTTTTATGGAGAACTTGATATATTCTAGACAGTTCATAAGTGGCTAAGGAAAAGCCATATAAGGGTATAAAAATAATACGTTAATTAATAATAATTAGTATTATTATCTTTATCATGTAAAGATTATTAGAAATATTATGTATATAATTACATTTAAATGTAAAAAATCGAAGAATGATAAAACTAAATTAATCTTAGTTCTTATATTTATGGTCCTCGGCACTTTAACATATATCTTAATCGCATCCTAGATTATTTAATGTCTCTCTTTCTTTCTTTCTTTATTTATTTCTTAAAATTAGAATTGGTGGAATAGTTTGGTTCAAATGTGTCTATTTATTCAAAAATCACCGTTCTTGACTTCCCCCAAATTCTCAAGGTTGTTGTGAGATTCGATTGTAATTTTAAGATTTTCCTCCAAAATTTCGGTTTCACGTGCTAGTTCGGATAATCTATCTTCGTTTTGCTCCAACTCGGTTTTCAGTTCTACTATATTATCTCTGGAAGAAAATTCAACGTTATTGCTGGCTTCTCTAGCCCTAGCCAATGTCTCCCTACTGTTTATAAAGATTTGCCGACTACCATTTCCGAAAAAGAGATCCTCCTTTTATCAATCAATTTTGAAGAAAATATTTATTTATTGATCAAATAAATAAATTTTTAAAAATGTATGAAAATTTTTATTTTAAGAATTCTAAATAACTTGTAACCACAGAGTTCATAGGTAAAGTAAACTGAAATTAATTTATCATAAACCTCCTTTCCAAACGCTTCGGATGACTGAACCTCTATTTCCGCGGAATTCGCCTTCCAGGATGCGTTGGTGATGAGTTCGGTTATGGTTTCGTAAACGGTTGCGGCCTTTTTAGCTGGGTCAGCTGCTTTTCGTGTAGGTGTGAATATTTTGACAAGGTTATCGGCCTCTCTCTCGAGATTCTGGGTGTGGTCATTGATCTTAGATAATTCGGGTTCGAAATTAAAATATTTACTCGCCGCATTCCCTTGATCGATTGGAGGAGTTTGTGAGTTGCTTTCCAACATAAAATCTTTTTGTAGCCTCTTGATGTTAGTATCCGATATTTTGATGATTTGTTCCAACTGTTGAATGTTTCTGTGGTCATAAGAAATAATTATGATATAGAGTTTTTTTAAAAATATTACTTCGAAGCATTTATATAAGCCGATTTCGTTTCGACTAATAATTTGGCAGCTTCTTTTAAAACATCCGCTAATTCTAATTTTTCTGAAGATGCATCAGCAACTAATTGTTTGATCTCTGATGGATTTAATTGCATGAGTATGTCTTGAACACTCTTAGTCGTATTAGTGGATTCAGTACTAAAATTGATAATTTCCCGCATCTTATCCATTGATTGTCCTAATTCTTTCATCAAAGATACTATACTTTCTTCAAGTTGTTTTGGAGCGAATTCAAGAAATTGAACTTTGTACAATACTATTGAGAGAATAAATGAAATTAGTAAAAATGTAAAATATAATATTTGCGTTACATTCATAGACTTTATCAATCTCATCGCGAAGTTCGAGTTCTGAGGAATTAAAAGAAATATGATCCAAAAATTGAAACATTCTTTGAGCTTGTTCTAATAATGCGTCGGTGTTACCCTGAATTCTATTGAGTTTGATGGCATTTTCGACATTGGATGTCCTAATAATTGCATCTGATATAAATTGGAAAAAAAATAGAAAGAGGGGTAAGTAGGGTAGGGGGTTAAAATGAAAACTAATATAATATTTTTTTTTACTATATATTGATCTGTGAAGTTCGGAAAGGAGATCTTCGGTATTTCTTATTCCTTCGGTGAGGTTGTGTAACTTAGCTTTGGTGCTTTGAGAATTACTTTCTAAGTTATCAACTTTTCCTTGAATATATTGTGATTGAACGTTTAGGCTAAGCAACGCCCCTTTCACTGGATCGATGTCTATTTTATCGACCGATTTTTCTTTGGTACTATCGCGAAATCTTTTCGTCACCATGCTATGGCCATCTTGACCAAACATTGTTGTATCCCCTCCTATTATATTTTGCATGAGTGGCCTCAAATGCATTATAGTGTTATTAATTTGTGTAAGCCTTTTTGTTGCAAAAATTCCTTCCGATATTTCGTTCATATCGGCCATAATTTCTTTCAGGTTTCGAGCTTGTAACTCTACATCATCCAGCAGAGTGTGCACGCAATTATCGCACGCTAGTTTAAAATATTGAAAAATAATATATGGCGCGGCAATTTTATTCGAAAAATAAAAGGCGTATTATAGGTTTTTTTTTCTCACATATAAAATGTTTGGTGGAAATTTTACCTTAAAAGAAAATCATTACTTTTTAGACAAGACCTTATTTAAGAGAGGGGCAGATTGTAATTTATATAATATACAATTTAGTGGGAAACGATAGAAAATCATAATTAGATAGTTGAACTAAAAAAAATATGAATCAATGTAAAAAGGATGAATTTATTGTTCATTTAATATTCATATTTTAAAAAAATTTACGCTGGCATCCTTGATTGGGCATCAATATGTGACGCGCCTCACATTGATCACATTTTTCTCCAGTTACACCTGATAAGCAACTGCATTGACCGGTTTTCGCATCGCATTGTATACCAACAGACCCGAGAGATGCACATTCACAGGCTAATATGGAAAAATATTTTGATTTTCGAACAAAATATATTTCTTATTTATTTTAAACTTATTAAGAGATATGAAATCTACAACTTAATTTGAGCATTTTGGTAAAATATTTTAAGAACATATTTTCCCAGTGTTAAATTAACTTTGCGAACCAGTTTAAATTTATTAGTATATAATTTATTATGTGTTTCTTGTTAATTACTCGAAAAATCTCTTAGGCTAGATTCATCGATCCGACATGTTTTAACAGCTATTCGATTTTTTAAATCTGCTCATGAGAGATCAATTTTCTTTATTCTTATTAATTTCATACATTCTATTCGTGGTGATCATCTAAGAATTATTGATTTTAACAAATAAAAATTGATTAAAAGTATTATTAAAATCGCTCAGCTGTTAAATCGCGTCAGGATCGGATCCCACTATGAATATAGCCTTAAATAAATAAAAAGTTTATATCTAAAAAAAATAACGTGTGCATCCATTCAATCCATAATTCCAGAATCCGTTCAAGCATTTTTCACAATATTTTCCAGTCGTCCCGGGCTTGCATTCACATTGTCCAGTTGTGAGATCGCATTCATGTGATACCGCTCCTGATGAACAATTACAAGCCATACAGCCAACGCAACTATCGAAATCATAAAATCCAGGCTTATTTTGACAAATATTATTTGTTTAAAATATTTTAAAAAATTTTAGTAAATTATTTGTGTCAAATTTATAACTCCGCAAGGTTGATAGAGCTTCTTCTTTATTCACATAGTTACTCTTTTTCAAAAACAGTAAACTCTTAGGCTTCGTTTACAGTAAGCGTGAAATACCGAGATATCGATCAAGCGATTGCATAATTTACAAAATACATAATTATCGTTTAGCGATGACGCATCGTTTGAGAAACATCGCGGTATTTAGTGCTTACTATGAACGGGATCCTATTCAGAAATACAAAAAAAATATGATCTTTTATTTTTGGTTACAATAGCATCCTAATTTATCAAGGTGTCCTTAAAAAAAAGATGTTAACGCGTCTAAGCCCGACTTAATTTTTGTTCATAATTTTACAATTCTATTTACAATAGTCCGGACACCATTATTTAATGATAGATTTTGATATAAGGTAATGTATGATATCAAGACAGTATAAAAGGTGACCTTATTCATATTTTCGAATTTTAAAAAATTACTATTCAGAACAAATATCACCCGAAAACTTTTTCAATAGGATCCACTCATTGCCCGCTTAAAGTATTTCTTAATAAAGCTTTATTTTTAATCTTAAATTTATAATATCATTTTGGGATTTAAAAAGAAAAAGATCAATAAAAAATATAAGGACTTCTATATATTTTTTTTTTTAAAAAAGTCACTGTTTTCTAAACAAAATACTCTGTGACTTTTAAAAGGCTATAAATAATTAAAATGGATATAATCCTAGATAGGTTATTTGCGTATACCGCGCATTTATCGCATTGTGGCCCCACTACTTTGTCGTGACAAACGCATCTTCCCGTCAAAGTGTCGCAATTAGAACCGCACATATTACAAGAACACCTTTTTTTTAAAATTTTTATTTTAAACATAAATTTAAAAAAAAATAATTTTTTGTATAAATTTTGATTAAGGTTAGGTGAGGCAAAAATAAGCAAACCATTTTTTTTAACGTTTAGATATAATGTAAATATTAATAGTCTTTTGAATAAATTGCTATCATGATCATATCAACATGTAGCGGTTATTTCGAGAAATTGTAAAAGAACCTTTCGCATTTTCCGGTGATAGCATTACCGAAATGACCAGGGGAACATAAATTGCAAGATGGGCCGGCCGTATTTTTGCCGCAAACCAAACAAACACCATTCACAGAGTCGCACGCTTCGGGATTCGACATATCTAAGTTTTGGTTACATTGGCAGGGTTTACAGCTCTCGTTTACTTTGAAAGGTTGGCCGAAATAACCCGGAGCACACCTTTTTATTTAAAAAAAAATTATATAAGATTAGAAGAGTTCGCCATGAATCGTTTATTACGCTGCGTCCAGAGATGTTTTTAAATTTTATTTCATATGTTTTTTGGTGAACTGTTATATTTATTATATTATTTTTTACTGTCATCGTTAAATTATAAAATAATCGTATAATTAATAATATATCTGGCAGGTCATTTCAAGATTGGCAGTTCTATTTATAAAAGGATATTTAAAAAAAAATTTCTTGGTATTTCTAATATTTTAGAATAGGATATTGAGTTGATTACGGTTAAGGAGTGGCTTGGGTGGGCATATTAATTATCACTATTCATTTTTATCACCTTCTTCCAATTCAGGACCAGCTCAGTGGCTTACAGATCAAAGGATTAGGTATTGTGGGGAGGGGGGGGGCAGATTTATTTATTAAAAATATTGTCTTAAAAACTAACAATTCTTGTTGACCAAATGAAAATATAAAATATCGAAGGAAAAAAATCAAGAAAACAATTATTTTAATTGAGAAAAAAAAATCCATTATTTAGAAAAATATCATATAGAATTTATTTTACAACAAAACATGTTTTTTGGTATAAAATGTATTACATTATTCATTCAAATTTCAATCAAAATTATATAACTTCAAATTATATTTTTGTATCTTACTTAAGGGGCAGAGATTTTAACGAAGGGGTAAATTTCCCGCCAGCCCTTCTCCCGTTACCACCGGGTCAGCTAATATAATTCCGTATAATTAGTTATAAATTGTTCATTTGTGTATTTCAATTGTAATTAATACAATATATTAAGCATGTATAATTTTATCCGCAAAACAAAATATTCATGGTAGGAATGACCATCTGGCAGTCTCGTATAATCATTTAAAACTATTGCCTACTTTTCAAATATAATAGAATTTTACAATTTCGATAATAAAAAAAATGGGTGATTAAGTTGTAAAATTATATTTTTACCCATTTACATTTAACATTATATTATATATAACATTACTTACCGTTCACAATTCATGCCCACATAGTTATCTTTGCATTTGCATGTTATCACGGTATAACGCTGTCCTACATCCTTTATTTCGCAAGAGGTCGCAAAGCTTTATTTTAATATTATATAAATTATGAACAATTATATAATTGGAAAAGACGTGTTTGATTGTTTTTAAGAGAGAAAAAAAACAAATAAAATTTACTAATTATATTATGTTACAGTGAAAAATTTTAAAGAAAAGTTGTTCAGTGCATTAATTGCTAAGGTAAATACATAATTTTGTAAAATCAACTTGTTACTTAATATGTAAACAGTGCTTACTTATTGGAAACAAGCGGCAAAGGGCAAGGACATATATGACAATCATTAGGCGTCCCCATCGTGGCGTCTCCATAGTAACTAGGTTTACAAAGTTCACAGTTATCGCCTGTGGTGTGGTGATTACAAGATAAACACTTGCCAGTCTCATCTTCGCAAACATCCGAGTGACCATTGCATTGACAAGGCATGCACAGGCCTCCTATTACCAATGAGGCTAAGCCTTTCGAAATATTGGTAGATTTTCTGTAAAAGCCAGGACCGCATAATTCACAGGAGGTTCCGGCATAATTAATAGGACACTTGCATCTTTCTACGCTTAAGGCTAATCTGTTCTCATCCCGAATTGAACCTGGGTTTGATGAGCTAAGAGCGATTTCCATTAGGGGGTTTTTGAAACTTGAATTTTTATGAATATAAACGTTTTTTAAAAAATATATAAGGGTTTTCTAGATAATATATATATGAAATATAGGTGTGGTAAAATAAATTCCAAAATGAGTTCAATATTTTTAGAAAAGGATGAATCTGATGTTTAATTTATGCATAATAAATTAAATATTTTCTTACTGAGTTTCAAAATTGTTTGGAAAATAATGAACCAGGACAAGGATTTCTTCGAGTGATGACAAAATTACCATCATTTGCTCTCTCGTTACCGTTTTAAAGATTTGTCTTTTATTATAGTGCTGAAAATGAGACGTTTCATAACTATGTTCGAACATCATTTCACTCAATATCACTTTAATGTGATAGGGGGCATTAGGTATAGGCTGATGATCACTGTAATGAGCGATGCTCATGTTAGCACCCTTTATAATAAATAAAAAAATTATCATCAAACTAATAATTATTAAATTTAACCTTCAATAAGAGAGTGGGGTGTATTATGACATTGTTGTAAGAGTCATCTGCTCTTATATATAATTCGTATGACAAGATTCCTCCATATGATTTGATCTAAAAATAATATAAACGATTATAAGGGAAAAAAGTCTATGCAATTTCAAGTGACTAATATATTAAAGTTATTAAAATGATAGCAATTCATAGAAATTATCTAATTATTATATTTATAATTATAATAAAGGGGAGGCCGGGGTAAAGCGATTGACGGGGTAACAATTTTAACGCGAAAAACTCTCCATCTCGTGAACATAAAGATCTAAAATTATGTAATGTATTTTTTATGTAATTGTTTTTACCAGTGTTCAACTATTAGCAGATGTTCCTAATTATGATAAAAACTCGTTTTTAACATATTAACAATAAAAATCACCTTTTTTGCCTTTAGTAAATTATATTTATCCTAATGATTCAAAATTTTATACATAGGTTCCTTATTGTCAGCTATAAAATAGTTATTGCAAGTTTTGGAAGTCATGCAATAACGATTTATATTATAAATATAATCTTGGGCTAGAGCAGCTATGGGTAATGTTCCATTTGATTAAAGCTGTAAAAAAAATAATTGAAATATTAAAGTTTACACCATATAAAAAAAAATTTTGGAGCAAAAAGGAACATTAATAAAATATTTTATGTGTTATATATGAATCAAATTTATTTTTCGCTAGGTTGATGATTATTTGAAATGAACGATGAACCTTAAACAGGCCCACCCAAAATATGATAATTTTTATAATTTCTTTACATAATTGTATTGATTAGTTTGTAATTGAAAGTAAAAAATAGATGACAAAATTAGTAATATTCTCTTCATTAAAATAAAACAATAAAGTTGCGTTCAATTTCATGCGAAAGAGGTGGTTTTACTATTATAGGTGGAGCTACAATTTTTATATTAAGTAGGTGAGTGTTTGGGCTACACAACGCTACATAATTTGTTCTGATTTGTATTTGTTACAAAAATTTTATAGTAAAATTGTAAAATACCGATCGCTTAACCTCGATCTCCCTCAATCGGCAAAATGCCCTTTCTTACCTTGTTTCCTAAATATTGAGATGGCGCGGATAAATAAACACCATCCTGGTTAGCATATTTCAACAAATCTTTTATTATCAGAGTACGCTGGTTTGGGTCAACGCGCAACGAAGATATTGAAAGGTCTTCACTTACATTTGCGATCTTCCAATCATACAACACCACCAACTGATAAAAAAAATATTTTAAATAAAATAAATACCTGTGATGGGAGGAAATTTTTTAAATCATTATCAAAAATAAAATTATATATAATATTTACATCATTCCAATAAAGATCAGAATTTTCACAAATCTGTGTGACGCCAAAGCAGAAGCAATTCGTGCAGCCTTTCGGATTTATACCCTCCAATAAAAACGTACCTGGTTTGCATTTACTACATCTAGGACCTTCTGTATTTTCCTGGTTATCAAAAAAAATTAAATATCAAACTCATTTCAAAAGAGCATTACATACCGGAATTAATTTATAGTTAAATTCCATTTTCTCCCAATTTTAGGTCAATTCTAATAAATATATGAATTGGAGACCTCCTAGGGCTGGGTATGGGTCTAATATTATCCAAAAGCCCTGAGGTATTAACTTTTTAATGGGCTTGGGGATTGAGCCTAAAAAATCCTCATTTAAAATTTAACTTATTTAAAACAGTTGCTAACTTAAAAAAATATATTGCAATTTTTTTTCTTCTAATAATAAATTTCAATATTGCAAACAAAATGATTGCTTAACAGTATATTGAAAGTTTACATTTAAGATAAGTGGGCAAAACTTTTGAGATTTATTATAAGGTTGGGAATTTTTTTTAATATTAGATATGGGCCGGGCCTGTAAAATAAATTTGAGCGGGTCTGGGTCGTGATCAAAAAATTAGGCCCCATGAAAGTCTTTAAATATGGTAAGTTTATAAATCAATGTATATAGTTATTAGTCTTATTAATATAAATAATATAAAAATTTTACGTAATTTAGAATGGGTTCCTATTTATTCGGCTAAGAATTAAAATATGCTCTGGAAAAAAAATTTCTTACAGGCCCATAATAAATAATTACTACTCAAAATAAATGCTTAACGCAAAAAATAGTGAATGCTCGGCAGATAGAAACTTAATTTCCCATAAAAAAATGCTAATTGCTCAGGTATAAAACTGTAGATCAAAATATAAATCTCTTAGAAAAATATATGAAGAAAAATCGTTTTAGATTTTAAGAAAAATATTTGTTGTAATTCAGTAAAAATTCTGAGCTTTAATTATTTTTTAATTCTCAGCAATTAGGGCAAAAAATATTTTAATAAACTTTGCAATAGCACGCGGAAGTGTATTGATCACAATAATCCTCGGTAACCCCTCTAGAATCACAGTTGCAGCTCTGACAATAAGGGAACCCGTAAGTTCCCACTTGGCATTGACTGCAATTACGATTTATAACGTTGGGTCTACAACCGCATTGGCCAGTCAAGAGGTCGCAGTCCAAATTTTCTGCGTTTAAAACTCCGGCTTGATTACAGTCGCAAGGTTCGCAGCCTATGATAGGATCGTAACCAAATGTTTTGGGCTCGCAATTATCGCATCTAACCCCTTTGACTCTGGGTGGGCATAAGCATTTACCCGTGACCTCGTCACAAAGTGAAAATGGACATGGACACTCTGATAATTAAAATAAAGTATAAAAACATCGATTATTTTAAACAACGATTTAAAACATTAAAAATGGGACAAGACATTATTTTTATTATAACAGATGCTTAAGTTTTAATTTATCATTTATTTTAATGGTTTGTGTTCATGCTTAAGTATTTGAGAATTGAATTCGTTGGAAATTTTTGATATCTTCATAAATTATATATATTGTAAGAATTTTATCAAATTGAGATATTTATGACTAAAATTGATCCGGCGTTTTAGTCTATTTTTAAAACTTCTTAAATTGATGGGTAGATATTGCATACATGATGGAATAGGATTCAGGTAGAATAAAGTCTTCCAAGATTCCAGATTAAATAACACTAGCCAATGATTTAGGTTTTTAAAATTAGCTGGAAAAAAGCCGGGTTAATTAAACATAGCCATTGCTAAAATCCTACAGTATTTATTAATTAATGATAATAACACTTGAGCAGTGGCGTATCTAGGATTTAACTCTTCAAGGAAGGGGGTTTCAAAATTTTCTAAAAAAAACAAAAGTTAAATTAATAATATCTAATATTAACAATTTAAGACAATAAATTTTAATAAATGTTAATTTTTTATAAAAATGATTTTAGAAAATTAAAATTAAGGAAACATAAAATCTTTGTAAAATTCATTTCATTAGTTCTTTCTCATTTTTTAAAAATATTTGATCTGAAGTTTTATGGAAAATAATTTCGGAGGGTAAAACGCCTAGTTAACTCTCCCTAAAAGTGCCAATCTTAGTTGAGCATATCCCTTTTATTTTCAACATTTAAAAAAAATATGGAAATATTAAAACAAAAAGTAATATAAATTACTGCAAAATAAAATGACAAGTAATGGGAAATACATACTTCGACAATTAGGAAAACCGAAATAGCCAGATTTGCATCTCAAACAAGTGCGTCCTATAATATTGTCTTTGCATTGGCACTGACCTCCTACGGGATTGCAACTGTAACTTATAGACCCCTGATTATCGCAGTTACATTGCTTGGCTCCTAAGTTAAAATCGGTGGAAAGGGAAAATATGGCCTTCTTGCAGAACGGGTTCTGAGAAAGGGTATCCTCATCCAAGAAAACCTTTTCGCATCCCTCTATAAATCGATGTGTTTGGTCGATAGGCTGATGATTGACCCAACTGTTACGGTATAAATCGCTGGGCATGAATATTATGTTGTTCTTTTTCAAAAAAAAAATACATATATGTTTATATATAAGTTCTTGTGGTACTAGTGTAAAATTACTTTAAAATATTATATATATATTCGTGCTGATATGAGTGACCAATTGTTTCTAGTTGTTTTAACAGAGTAAAACATATATATTTCTTTTTTATTTTGTTTTTTAAAATTATATTTGGGTAAACTAATTGACGATTATTAACTATTTATTGTAAAATCGATTTAAATTTTAAAATAAGTTAGGACTTACCAGCCAAAATAGGTAGGGACTTTGGTGGAAGATAGTTAAGTTGAAAGTTTCCGGGAGACCAAAAACATGCTGCAAAGTTTTATCCTTAAAAATAGCATAGCATCCATCTTCGTTAGGGCAATACTCAAGATCAAACGTGCCTATTAAAAAAACCCACCATCATATTAAGATGAATAAGAAATAGAATAGTATTAAAAATATTTGATATTTATAAAAGTGATATATTTTTATTTGTTCGGGAAGAGATTTTTAAATAATTAACGGATGCCAAAAGTTTAAATTGTGTGGGAGAAAAAATTTTCAAAAAATGTTTGATTTCGTCTTGAAAAATTTTTAATACATAAAAATTACTAAAGACCTGCAGACCCGGTCCTAAGCCCGACCCGAGGACACGGCTCGGCAGAATTTTAATTTTTTTGAATTTACCATGTTTTTTTTTTAAAATAAAAAATTTTTTTTTAAATCGTCATTATTCGCTATAATAATTAAAAAAAGGAATATAACATATTTTAAAAAAAAAATCCGGAGCGGGGCCTGAAAATATAACGGGCCGGGCAAATGATACCTCTGCAGGTCTCTGAAAATTATAAAAGATTTAATTAAAGGATTTTTTTAGGAAAAGATTTTGGCATACTCTGATGAAATATAAAAATTTATAAGGTGCTTTCATAAAATACCCAATATTTTAGTCTTATTCCCTTGAATATCTATGCCAACCGAAAAACTTGGATAACGATTTTGATAATATTTTAAAATAATCACATAATCGCCCGCTTTTGGCAGAAGGACATTTATCGTGTGATTCATCTAGACGAGGTTTATAATTTTTGCATTATTTATAAAAAAAGATAAATAATGAATATAAAAAATTAAAGTATAAAAGCCATGTCCTTGCCTGGTTCGTCTTATTTTTGAAACTTATCTGTAAACAAATTTTTGAACTAAAACATCCTATTTTCTGGTTATTTTTTATACATTTAATTAATATAATATTTTCATTTAGATGCTCTATTGATTTGGAATGCCACAAAGACGATTTACCATTTACGTAAATCTAAATATCCTTTCTTTTTAGGGTGTTTAGAGGAAGCTATATAGACGGCTAAAGAGACTACTGTTTAGAAAATAAGAAGAATCCAGGACCCAGTCGATTAAAATTTTTTTACTTTGGCAGCAATTTTAGTGTAATTAACAGAATTTATAGTTTTCGAATTCAAGGAGGATATGTTCTTATCCACATCTTCGATTCCGTATCGGAAAGTTCCAATTTGATCGTAGTTGCTGATAATTTCGCTAAATAAAAATAAAAATGTCATTATTTTATTTTAATAACAAATAAAAATATCTTTTCTTTGCCGCGTTTTTGATAGAAAGCTGAAAGGAACAGAGTTTTATTAGGGTTAAAAATAATAATCAACTAGCCGATTCCTCCTTTTTCTTTAAATTTAAAAAGAGATCTCAAACTTCTTGGATAATGCCTTTTTGTCTAAAAAAAAATATTTTGTTAGTTATATTAAATGTAAATAGTTTTAAAGTAGACAAGTTAAAACGGTGTACTTGCAAGGCTCATTACAATCTCGCTCTCATGTATATGCCTTTATTTTGCCTTCGGCATCCACCCCTTTCCTTCCTATGATTTATATATAATTACTGTTCGTTATTATTGATAGACAGGAGAGTTGGTTTGACCAAATCAATGTTCCAATATTTGGAGGGAATAGCGACAACAGATGCTAAGGCTAAATCTGAACCCTTCCTTCCAGAGTGTTGGATGTAATCGGGGTCTAAAAGCATTCGAAACCCGATCTGCACATTCCCTTCGGTTAATTGAGGGTTTACCTGATTTGGCCCTTGATGAGAAGAAGGTCTCACGCTATACGTGAGAATTTTTCCTTCGTTGTTCAAAACTACTTGACGACATATCAATCTTAATAATTATTTTTTTTTGACAAATAAGAATTTATTGTAATGTGGTTGAGGTAGAGTCTGCAAGTCGGCCCGAAACCTGGTCCGACTTTGAACTGGGATTAAGCGCGATGCTTTCGGTTATTTTTTTAAATAAAAAGATTAAAGGTTCGTAGATTTTTAATTTTATTTGACTTGTTAAAAAGCGTTTAATAATTTATATATATTTATACAAAAATTTGGCCAAGCTTAGGCCTACAAATAAAATAAAAATTCGGGCTGGGCTTAGAAATAAAATCTTTTTAAATTGGACCGGACCATAAAAGTAAAATTAGCAAGGTTTATGAGAATATCTTCAGTATTTGATAGACAGTTATAAAGTTATTACATACTTATTATGGCAATTGTTAAGGATTACGTGCCCGCTCACCTCTTCCTTTGTTTGCGGATTTATAATAGACGTTTCTAAATTTTCGGGAGTTTTTTCTCCGGGGGAATAATAAGTTATGATAAAATTGTAGTCGTTTGGTTCCAGCTTGAAATCGAAATAAACTTCGGTCTTGAAGAAAATAAAATATTATTTAGTTTAAATATTTTCAAACTTCTTATAAATAGAATGATACCCCTAAAAAATCTTATATTAGTGCAAAACATTTTTTATATACCCCCTAAAAATGCTTTTAATATGAATTATATTCTCGGCACAAATTTAATAGAAAAACTATACAACTCAATTTTATTTAATTTTAATTGTTTTGTTTTTACTTGAGAAGAATCCAATTTAACCATATCGTTAGTGAGATTGAGTCCCTGGATCAACTTTATATCACCAGTCATTTCAGCCAGATTTCTCCAGTAAGCTGTTTTGTCTAACAGAAAAGATTGATCACCGTATGTTATTTTGATTTCTGGGTAGTCAGAGGAATCCAAGGGTGGGTAAGTGTATTGTCTGCACAATTGTTTGTTGGAACCTTCCAATTTGCAAACATCTTCAATTTGATATTGCAACTTACCCGCTTCGTAATATTCCGATGGAATAAGAGTGAAATAATCCTATTTTATGAAAATTTAGGGCGATGTAGAATAAAATTGTTAAATTTATCATCGAATTATGTTATGTTGTTTTAAGAGATTTGGCATATTTTATTCTTTAATTTAAAAAATTATTGATGTTATTATTTATTATATTTTAAAATTGTTATAATCCGAAGTTTTGTTAACGCGGATTTATTTTTTATATTCGCACAGTATTTTATTTTTAGATTTAGTATATTATTTAGTCGGAGACTCATTGAGTTGTTCTTTTTTGTGCATTAGATTATGTTTATGTTATTTTAAATTATATTATGTGATCTACATTATTTGTTATTGTGTTGATTTTATCAAGTGTAAAAGATGAGAAATCTGTAATACATTTATTTTAATAATATTTTGAAGTCTAATTGATTCAAAATGTCTATAAAAGGGTTTTAAAAATTAAACTAAATATATTTTAAGAGTGAAACATAAAGAGTTTAATAGGCGGCAACGACTTACAATAAAAATATAAATTGATAATTCTGTCAAAGAAATTTTGAATTGATTTCTAATTAATACACAAAAAATTGATTTAAATTAAAATTGATTAAAAATTTAAGAGCACTATTGCTTATATTAAGGTGCCATACACATGGAAAATACATTTCCAACAAAGTGAAATCTTTAAAAAAATATTTATAAAATGTGAATTTTCAAGATTTATTCAGACCTAGTTAGTAGTTACAATACCAGATTATACTGAATACCTAATACCATATGACATATATAGTGTATTACCATGAAAGCTGAATCTTTATGATTTTTCAACTCAAATATGACTTCTATAGTATTTGAATCTATGACAAACGAGGCCGCCGATTTAGATTTAGAAGCGGCAACATCTTGAATCTTGTATTTAGTGGCCATGCTATTCGGTGAAGTAGATGTTGGAGTTTGAGCGTAAACAAAACGAGGTGATGAAACGTAGCCATGATGTGCTTTATCGATAATAATCGTGTTGGGGTCTAATGTAATCTCATTTGTTTGGATTACGGAGGGCGTATATTCTCGGGACGTGATTTGAAATTGATGAGGGTTATAGAAGGGATCTCGAGGAAAGTGGGGAAAGGTATGTTGGTCGTGCCCCAATCTATTGCGAACGGAAACATCCATGAATACGGGGTAGTCGTTGCGATTCACGTAACGCGCCACTAAGCGATACAAACCGTGGGGTATGCTTGATACATCCATAATTATTTTTGGCTTAAGGATATTGGAATATTTTTTTAAAAAAATATAGTCAAGTCAGCTTGGTAACTGGTTTCTCATTAACATTATAGACTTATACCTAAAACAAATTATTATTCGTTATTCGATTCGTATTTCGCGCGAATATGAAGAACGAAAATTAATTATTTAAAGTCATTTTTAGCTTTTATCATTTATTATTGTTAATGGATTTAGGCAATAGCAATTAGATTCGGAAACTAATAATCTTTAGAGTATAGATTTTACATATAAAATACACAAAGGTTTATGGTAAAAATGTCTGTAATTTATAGGGTAAGAACATAACACATGCTCGAATGCATTTTTGGCCAAATCAGTTTTTTTAAAAATCGCTCCCAGAGAATTATTTAAAATTGGGATTCCTGTCCCAATACGACTTTGTATATTATTAATGAGGGTCAGCGGTTCGGTCCTAATCGGTCTCAGACCAGATCGACTGAAGGACCGGATTTTTTGAGGCCCGTGTCAGGACCGTGACCATCATAACTACATTATATAAACATAAATTAAAATGGAGTAAAATTAAAAAATTACTGATTATAGATTTTATTTATTTATATTAATATTATTATATTATTGATGTTAATTTATTTTATTTTTTGCGAAAAAAAATCTATAATATTATTAGTTTTTTTTTTGTTTTGAAAATTGTAATGTTTTAATAAAAGTTAAAATGATCAGCAAATTAAAGAAATTGATTTATACACGATGTAAAAATTTTAATATTAATTAGTTTTTCTTAAATGTGGTTCAAAAATTTTAATTAATAAAAATTTATATATCCATGTTTAAAAGAGTGTGAAATTAAATTAAAGTAAAAAGAAATAGTTGATATAATGTAAAATAAGGTTAGAAATAACATTTTAAAATAAAATCTCTTTAAAAACATTACCCTAAATAAGATTTTTATTTTGCAAATTCCAAAGATGAGAAGTATAAATAAAATGTTTTTTAAAAAAAATACCTGAAGTTCGGAGAAGATGGCGTATCCCCTCCAAGAATATTTGGGGAAAACATTGTCATCATAAGCATATCTCACTCTGGTATTACCATCTGGATTTCGTCCATCCTCCAATTCGAATCTTAGGTGATTTAACAAAGGTATGTAGTGATTTCCTATGGAACGATCACAAGTTTTCCCATCAATCCTAGGCAAGCAAGGACATTGTCCTGTATTTTTGTCACATACATTGTTTAGAGAACCTCCTGGATTACATTGACAACCTAAAATATAAAATACAATTAATAGGTCTAAGGATGAGCTGGTATCAATAAATAACGAATGGATATTCTCAAAACTTCCTATTTTATCATTTTCTTTACTCTTTTTCTTTGTTTCAATTATATAAAAACTTGTGCATCCGAAAATATTCCCCCTTTCTAAATTATAGAAGCCATCCTTGCATTCACCACATGTACGCGAATCAACGTTGGCCTTGCACACGCACTGCCCATTGTGAGGATCACAATCCCGGTAACCTGATATAACTCCCCGAAGGTCACAACCGCAATCTTAGTTGGAAAAATATTTTTAAAAAATGGAGAAAAACATATTACGTATAATCTTTTTTACAAATTTTTCTAAAATCTTTTTAGAGATAACTATATAACCTTAATAGAAAACTCCATTAAAAAATTACCTTCACAGCCGAGTGGATTGGATAGCTTTAGATTCCAATATAAAGGCTTGCATTTATCGCATATGTGCCCCATCACTCGTTGCTTGCATTGGCATAAAACCCCATCCTTCATGGCTCCGCACCCCAAAAAATTGTAAATTATACCTGCTGGGTCGCAATTGCACTCTTTTATATAAAAAATAGGCGCGAATAAAATTTATACCATTATATAAAATTTCATTTTTCTACATATTTAACATATTATAACCGTTGTAACGAATTTATACAATCTTTTTAAATTTTTAGTGTTACATTTAAAAATTACACTAAAGAGTGCTACAAAAATCTTATCTTCATTTTGATTACCCAAGGAAGAAATATTCAAAGAATAAACATTAATTAATATTTTTAACACGATTTATGAGCTCCGTGAAGTTGGCCGAACGATTGGAAGCACTAACGATGAATCATATGTCATTTTTTAGTGCTTCGTTAGTGCTTCAATCCGTATAGAAGCCAAATTTAAGGGAAAAAGTTATAAGCAAATATAAAAATTTGTGCCAACTTCACGCTTAAAAGTCGATTGGAAGCACTAACGATGAAACTTATATCATTCTTTAGTGCTTCGTTAGTAGAGGTTAGTGCTTCAATCAGTTCCTTAGCCGAATTTAAGAATAAAAAGTTATTCACGAAAAAAAAAATAAACAAATAATGGCGACGTGCCAAAACAAAAACTATAGGAGTAAACATCCTGTTTTCGCCATTATTTAGTGCTTAATTAGTGTATTTAAATTCCGTTATTAATTTTGTTAACCGTCATATGAAAAAATTGTAAAACGCTAAAGAAATTTTTAGAGGTCAAATTTCGGCTAGAAAATTATGAAAACACTAACGATGAAACTTATATCATTTTTTAGTGCTTCGTTAGTAGAGGTTAGTGCTTCAATCAGTTCCGTAGCCGAATTTAAGAATAAAAAGTTATTCACGAAAAAAACAAAAATAAACAAATAATGGCGACGTGCCAAAACAAAAACTATAGGAGTACTAAACATCCGGTTTTCGCCATTATTTAGTGCTTAATTAGTGTATTTAAATTCCGTTATTAATTTTGTTAACCGTCATATGAAAAAATTTTAAACGCTAAAGAAATTTTTAGAGGTCAAATTTCGGCTAGAAAATTATGAAAGCACTAACGATGAAACTTATATCATTTTTTAGTGCTTCGTTAGTAGAGGTTAGTGCTTCAATCAGTTTCGTAGCCGAATTTAAGAATAAAATGTTATTCACGAAAAAAACAAAAATAAACAAATAATGGCGACGTGCCAAAACAAAAACTATAGGAGTACTAAACATCCGGTTTTCGCCATTATTTAGTGCTTAATTAGTGTATTTAAATTCCGTTATTAATTTTGTTAACCGTCATATGAAAAAATTGTAAAACGCTAAAGAAATTTTTAGAAGTCAAATTTCGGCTAGAAAATTATGAAAGCACTAACGATGAAACTTATATATTTAGATCTCATTATTATCAATATAATTATGCAGGAATTCTGATAGTTACCTTGATTCAATATAGCATATCAATAATTCAAATTTTCTGATACCTCTTTAGAATCTTAAGAAAAGAATATATCAAATTGATTATGTTTCTATAGATAGATATGAATAATTATATTCAAACTCTTCTCTAGAAATTATCAAAACTAAAGAAGTTATTAATAAAAATGCAAGTCCAACTCTTAGTGGTCGAAAATATAATCCTCAAGCGTTATATCTTTTTATTAGAAAACTGTTACTCGATAATATAAATAGATTGTAGAATAAAAGTGTTATATTTTTATTCGAATATTATAAGTACAATAGTGATGGAAGAATAAAGAAGGTAAAAATTATAAAAAATGTATGATATAATTTTCAACGAATAAAACAGCAATTAGCGAAATAAGCATATAATCAAAAAAACATTCTATATAACAAATATAAACAAATACGAATATAATAGGAATAGTTTAAAAAACTTTTATGGCATAGTTATAAATAATATTTAATTTTTTAATACATATAATGCAATATAATTTTATTTGAATTGTATAGGATAATTTTCAATTCACAATTTCTGTTGTCACAAATGCCATAATTTATTTAGAGGTCGTGTAAAATTATTTGATTTGATAAGCTCCTCCCAAGATAAAAACATTTTTCAATCCTAAAATCATATATATTATTCATTTGATATTTTAAAATATACCTTACTCTATAGGATTCGGAAACTTCAGCAAATACCATATAATATATAAGATCGGAGAAAATATCATATATTTTCTAATTTAATAATTAAAGTACTATATTGAACTTATACGACAAATTTAATTCTTTCTCTAGCATAATATGGTTTAATTTAAATATATTTTTTCATAGGAAGTGTCAAGGGCTTAATTGTGAAAGCATGTAACGAAATGTTGAACAATATTAATGGTCAAACTTTATTTTTATTTGTATTATGATAACTAATTATAACAGTACTACCGTCAAGAAAGACGGGCGCATTTAATTTTTGCCTACAATTTTTTACCTTTTTATTTATAATTTAAAGCCAAATTAAGTTATTATTGTTAGATGAGAGTTTTTAATACCTATCTTATTTACCCCATTAACTAATCACATTCACTCCCCACCCCGTGAAGGTGGGAGTTAAAATTTAAGGGAGCAAAGAGGGAAAAATAAGATTGACTAAAAAAAGGAAGAAATAAAAAAAAAAGAGACAATGATATTTAAAGCATTTTTATAATTAAGAAGAGATGCTGATACTTTCATATTTAATACCTCTGAACAATACCAAAAAAAATATGTAGTATATAAATTACAAACTATGTTAAAATAGTTTGTAATATAATATACAATTTCACTTTATATATTTTTAAAAAAATAATTTTTATTACACTTTTGATTTTGAATATAGATTTCGTATTTCAATTTTTTTAGAAAATTCACGAAATAAAGAAGCATTTTCACAAATATTCTTAAATATAATTTAAATGGCATATTTTATTTACAATTTTATACTAAAATAATAAACCACACATGTGAGCAATTAATCTAATCTATTATAAATTTTATAATTTTTTTTACTGCCATTAAAATAATTTTAAAAAAATTTGACAATCTAGAAAGAAAAATAATTATACCAAATCTTAATATAGCTCCTATTCTCATTGCTTGTGAGAATCATAGTTCTTTAATTTTTAATTTATTATTCTTCAAGTTAATTTAAAAACTTTTGTGTTTAAAATTATTATTATATAATTATTTCATTCATTTAATGACCATCAAGCCAATCGGCATTTAATAAAGAAATGATTTTAAATAATTTTCCGTAATTTTTATATATTTAGGATGGTAGGGAAGGTAACCTCTTGCAAATAACGGGGATAAATAAATGGTGGGGAATCAGGGATAGCAATATCTCTAAAAATGATTAGGAAAAAAAATACAAGGTTTACCCCGAGAAATAATTAAGTTGGAGAAATATTTTGTAGCTTAATAATAGTTCTTTAATATGACATACAAAGTAAAAATCAAAATCCCCGCAAATTCTTATATTTTATCAAATAAATATGATATAAATTGAGAACTGCTTATTCATATTGGGCAAGCTTTGATCACATATTCCTTTTATTTTCGATTTTTTTTTTAATTAACATTTTAATATACAAACACGAAATTAACAATAACAAGGTTTAAAATGGATCTTTGCCAAGAACGAGATCTAGGAGAACCGACTTGCCCTCGCGGGATTGCCAAAAGAATCGGTGGATAACTCATTCAGGATTCCATTTTCGGAAAAAGTTCATAAAGCCTCGACAAGTGGGAGATGACATCAGGCGCATTCAAGGACATCATCGGAAGTCCAAAGAATGGAAGAACTGATGCTAGGGCAAAGTGACGATGAAAATAAAAATTCCGATCATCCTTTGGGAAAGGATTAGATGTAATGATTATGATTTTTTTTTAAACCTTGTTATTATTAATTTCGTGTTTGTATATTAAAAATATTTTTGTAATTGTCAATTATTATAAATTAAAAATGTTAATTTTAAAAAAAATCGAAAATAAAAGGAATATGTGATCAAAGCTTGCCCAATATCAATAAGCAGTTCTCAATTTATATCATATTTATTTGAAAAAATATAAGAATTGCGGGGATTTTGATTTTGATTTTTACTTTGTATGTCATATTAAAGAACTATTATTAAGCTACATATTAAAATTTAAAATATTTCTCCAACTTAATTATTTCTCGGGGTAACCTTGTATTTTTTTTCCTAATCATTTTTAGAGATATGGCTATCCCTGATTCCCCACCATTTTATCCCCGTTATTTGCAAGAGGTTACCTTCCCTACCATCCTAAATATATAAAAATTACGGAAAATTATTTAAAATCATTTCTTTATTAAATGCCGATTGGCTTGATGGTCATTAAATGAATGAAATAATTATATAATAATAATTTTAAACATAAAAGTTTTTAAATTAACTTGAAGAATAATGAATTAAAAATCAAAGAACTATGATTCTCACAAGCAATGAGAATAGGAGCTATATTAAGATTTGGTATAATTATTTTTCTTTCTAGATTGTCAAATTTTTTTAAAATTATTTTAATGGCAGTAAAAAAAATTATAAAATTTATAATAGATTAGATTAATTACTCACATGTGTGGTTTATTATTTTAGTATAAAATTGTAAATAAAATATGCCATTTAAATTATATTTAAGTATATTTGTGAAAATGCTTCTTTATTTCGTGAATTTTCTAAAAAAATTGAAATACGAAATCTATATTCAAAATCAAAAGTGTAATAAAAATTATTTTTTTAAAAATATATAAAGTGAAATTGTATATTATATTACAAACTATTTTAACATAGTTTGTAATTTATATACTACATATTTTTTTTGGTATTGTTCAGAGGTATTAAATATGAAAGTATCAGCATCTCTTCTTTTAAATTATAAAAATGCTATAAATATCTTTCTCTTTTTTTTTATTTCTTCCTTTTTTTAGTCAATCTTATTTTTCCCTCTTTGCTCCCTTAAATTCTAACTCCCACCTTCACGGGGTGGGGAGTGAATGTGATTAGTTAATGGGGTAAATAAGATAGGTATTAAAAACTCTCATCTAACAATAATAACTTAATTTGGCTTTAAATTATAAATAAAAAGGTAAAAAATTGTAGGCAAAAATTAAATGCGCCCGTCTTTCTTGACGGTAGTACTGTTATAATTAGTTATCATAATACAAATATAAAGTTTGACCATTAATATTGTTCAACATTTCGTTACATAGCTTTTACAATTAAGCCCTTGACACTTCCTATGCAAAAATATATTTAAATTAAATCCATATTATGCTAGAGAAAGAATTAAATTTGTCGTAAAAGTTCAATATAGTACTGGAATTATTAAATTAGAAAATATATGATATTTTCTCCGATCTTATATATTATATGGTATTTGCTGAAGTTTCCTAATCCTATAAAATAAGGTATATTTTAAAATATCAAATGAATAATATATATGATTTTAGGATTGAAGAATGTTTTTATCTTGGGAGGAGCTTATCAAATCAAAATGATTTTACACGACCCCTAAATAAATTATGGCATTTGTGACAACAGAAATTGTGAATTGAAAATTATCCTATACAATTCAAATAAAATTATATTGCATTATATGTATTAAAAAATTAAATATTATTTATAACTATGCCATAAAAGTTTTTTAAACTATATTTCTATTATATTCGTATTTGTTTATATTTGTTATATAGAATGTTTTTTTGATTATATGCTTATTTTCGCTAATTGCTGTTTTATTCGTTGAAAATTATATCATACATTTTTTATAATTTTTTCCTTCTTTATTCTTCCATCAATATTGTATCTATTTATATTATCGAGTAACAGTTTTCCAATAAAGATATAACTTGAGGATTATATTTTCGACCACTAAGTGGAGTTGGACTTGCATTTTTATTAATAACTTCTTTAGTTGTTTTGATAATTTCTAGAGAAGAGTTTGAATACAATTTTTCATATCTATCTATAGAAACATAATCAATTTGATATATTCTTTTCTTAAGATTCTAAAGAGGTGTCAGAAAATTTGAATTATTGATATGCTATATTGAATCAGGGTAACTATCAGAATTCCTGCATAATTATATTGATAATAATGAGATCTAAATATATAAGTTTCATCGTTAGTGCTTTCATAATTTTCTAGCCGAAATTTGACCTCTAAAAATTTCTTTAGCGTTTTACAATTTTTTCATATGACAGTTAACAAAATTAATAATGGAATTTAAATACACTAATTAAGCACTAAATAATGGCGAAAACCGGATGTTTAGTACTCCTATAGTTTTTGTTTTGGCACGTCGCCATTATTTGTTTATTTTTGTTTTTTTCGTGAATAACTTTTTATTCTTAAATTCGGCTACAAAATGGATTGAAGCACAACCTCTACTAACGAAGCACTAAAGAATGATATAAGTTTCATCGTTAGTGCTTCCACTCGACTTTTAAGCGTGAAGTTGGCACAAATTTTAACTCGGCTACCATACGGATTGAAGCACTAACAAGCACTAACGAAGCACTAAAAAATGACATATGATTCATCGTTAGTGCTTCCAATCGTTCGGCCAACTTCAGGGAGCTCGATTTATGGCTCCTAAATGTTATTATTGTTATTGAAAATAAATTTTATTCAAAAATCTTGTTTTCCGTATTCCCTTAAGTTAATTAGTTCGTCTTGAAAATACTATTTAGATTATTTCTTTCTTATATCTCTTGCTTCCACATTCCAACTCCTTCCTTTATCCGCTCATTATATATTATAATCATTATTATGAGATAATAACATTTTTAAGTGTATTATTTTTGCTATTATTGGAAAGGGCATCTAATACATCTAATAAATTAAGCTGTTTTCTTTTCATTATACTATACAAATTGAGTTTTTATTAAGTCTTAGCATAGGGTACCGTATATTAGTATAAAAATTTCCTATTAAACCTTCACAAATAGGGAAATTGTAAAATCCTTCCTTGCAAGTTTTACACTTGGAGCCATCAAAATTATGGTTGCACCAGCAAGTTCCTGTTTCATCACAATTACGACCTTGAGATCCGTACACATTGCAATCACAACCTAATTTGAAAAGATTATATTATCGGATAACATATTTTCACTAGATTTCCAGAAATCCATGATATTGTGTTTAATAGTAATTTATGATTTTTTAAAAAAATCTAATTCTCATAAAAAAAATGATAGAATGGAAAAAGTAAAAACTTTTGCAGACAGGATATTCATGATATCCGGCGGCACATTGATCACATTTAATTCCGGAAAAGTTGGTTTTGCAATAACATTGTCCGCTGATTTCACATTCGTTTCCAATAGATCCGATATCGCTACATTTGCACTCTTTAGTTTTAAAAAATTAAATTAACATGTTTAGATTTTATTAAAATATAAAAACATGTAAACTATTTAAAACGCAAAATAAATAAAAACTATTAAATTTAAAAAACATATAAGACGGAAAAAAAACAATAAATTTTTTTTAAAAAAAGGCTTTAATTAAGATCCGAGGAAACTAAGATAGTTGTCTCGGAACAGAGCAATTTAGGTAATTGTATATTTTTAAAACTCATCCACGATCCCAATTGATTTGAAAAAATTATTTTACCTAAAATCTTTAAAAAAATAATAGCCTAAAGGGCTTAAGGACCCATTAGTCGAAATAATTATTGAGATAACATGGTATTCCTCCAATAGTTATTTCTACCAATGAGTCTTTAGACATAGTGTTGTTAAACCCTAATTTGGATCGTTTCTGAAAATTGCCCAATTAAGATTTTGACAAAAATTATAATATGTATGGAGATTCATTAATGGTAGAAAGGTTTGGAACTCTATTTTCAAAATCTCGAGGCTTAAATATTATTATTCTGGCTATAATCTTAATCGGGCCACTTTTAAATATCGACCCAAAAGAGGTCGTTTAACAACGGCTCTCGTTTTTCTTAAATATTTGAGATAAAAAATTTCTCAAATCAATGGGACATAAAAGTTGATACTTAAAAAAAAGTAATTAAAATTATGAAAAGAATTGGTTTGTATATATTTTTTTTAATATATCATTTTGTTCTTTGTAAATATCAGAGACTTGCAGGCCCGGCCGTATTTCAATTTCTTAAATATACAGAGGCCGGGCCCAAAAAAATTTTTTTTAGAAAAAAATACCCGCTGGGCTGTATATTTTAAAATCAATATTTTAAATCGCCATTATTATCTATAAAAATTAAAGAATAAATATAATTGTAATTTTAAAAAAATTAGGGTTTTAAAAAAATCCCAGCCGAGCCATATGAATGGCACTTCTGCAGGTCTAGTAAATATAGTACCACACTGTGTCCCTAAAATAAAAAATAATTCGAAAGTTTTTAAAACTATACTGATAAACAAATGATGAGATTTTTTTTATTAATGGAAATTAAAGAATTTGATCTAAAATTTATTGATAGTCTCTTAAGTTTTAAAACTTATGGACGCAATCTTAAGAGTTTATTGAAAATAATTTACTTAATGGCGGATGATAAATACTGTATTATCAAAACATTTTATTATCTTAACTATAATATAGATCTCATAACAAAATTAGTTACTGAAGCCGAATTTTGTTCCACACTTATAAAACATGTTTCCATATTTTAATATAAATAATCATTCTAATAGTACGTATACTTTTACAATCGGGATACCCGTAAAACCCAGTTTCGCACTTTTCGCACCTACTGCCAGTGTACCCCTTTTTGCACAAACATTGACTGTTGCTTTTATCGCAAACTTCGGGAACAGTCCCGCTGGTATCACAAGAACAGAACTCGCAAGTGGGGTAATTGAAGTATCCATCGGCGCACGCGTCGCAATGCAAACCCCCGTAATTGTTTCGACATTTACACTGACCCGACCCTTGATCGCAAAAGTAATCCAATGAACCAGTTCTGTCACACACGCACCCTTAGTCGTTTAAATAATATGGTGAATATAAATTGGGTTTACTCCATAAATTTGTTTTTTAAATTCGTCTAGATATACAATTAATCACGTGTTGTGTTTTCTCTAGATACATATTGGCAATTTTATTACATCAAAATTTAAGGGAACCCTAATTTATATACCCCTTCTCTATTTCCTTAGTAACCTTTTAAACCACTAAGGCTGAATTCATAGTGGGATCCGATCCAAAACGATTTAACAGCTGATTTTTAAAATCTTTTAACAAGATCAATTTTTTTTTATTAAAATCAATAATTTTAATTTTAATCTTAAATGTAATTAAATTAAATTATTAATGATAAATATATCTCATAAATATATTTTTAAAATCGATCAGCTGTTAAATCGCGTCGGATCGGATCTCACTATGAATCCAGCCTATAACAAAGGGATATCCTGGTCAACTATCAAGACTAAAAAATGTGAAAATTCTCAGTGTATATAAAAGAATTTTTAAACACCAAAACCATAAAAGCTAAATATTTTCTGAAATAAATGTTTTTTATCTTTATAAGAACCCACTTTCGCAATTCGGAAAGTTGAAGTAGCCCGGAGTGCATTGGTGGCATGATTTTCCTTGATAATTGTATTTGCACGGACAATATCCGTCTTGGTATTGACAAATTTCTCCGGTTGTTCCGTTACCAAAACATTCGCAAGGCTTGCACGATGGAAAATCGTAATATCCTTTATTGCACATTTGACAATAAGGGCCTGTAAAATTGGCTTTGCATTCACAGGTCCCGTCACCTTCGGAACATAACCCGGTAGAATAGTACGAATCGCAGACGCAGGCTAGATGATATAATGATTTTACATTTGATTTGTTATAATAAGGGAATTTTATATCTTAAAAAGAACTCAATTTTACATAAATATTATATACTATATTTTTTTTAAAATCCTATTATATAAAGACTTACGGACGCATACATTCGTTGAATTGAGTAGATTTCCGTGAGGTCTGTAGTATCTAGCCACGCACTGATTACAATTTATACCCTGCGTATTGTGTTGGCAATCTTTGCAGACCCCTCCACCATTGTAATTACCGAATATATCCAAACTCAAACTTTTCCTGTCTACTTCCGCGTCATAATCGCAATCGTTCGAATGTCCCAAACAATTACATGCTAAAAAAATTTTTTAGGTGATAAATTTTTTTCTGGAAAAAAAGAACCATGGGCAAAAAAATACCGAACAGATTTTTATAACATCATCGTAGAAAACATTTAAAGAGGACATTTTTTTTCCTCCCGTATTTTTATCAAAGATTTAGATCGTTAAATTTAGTATTTTTTTTATCAGAGATTCTCTCCGTGTTCTTTTAGATGGTTTACATTTTTATCAGGATCTTTTGCCCTGGCGATTTTTGTTCCGGCATTCATAATTTATAATGTTTTATAATAATGCAACCTAATTGAACGTTAGCGTTTCGTGATGAAAAACGTAAACAATGCATTTCATGCAAATTGAGATACAATTTATAAAACGTTTTAATAAAAACGAAAAGCTTAGTAAGGTAGCACTATAAGCCCATATTCAATTAAAAAAATTTTAATGATTAGTTATTGTGGGAAATTTTTAGACTAACCCTCGCACGAGTTTACGCTATCAAATGTTGAGGGTTTCCACGGTTTTTGCCTGAAACCGGAACAACAAAATTCGCATTGCGGTCCACATGTATCGTGTTGACATCTGCATGCTAATTTATAGGGATTCGTAAGATCGGTTTTGTCACAAGTGTCTGCGTGGCCATTGCAAACGCATCTTCCTCCAATGGATATATCCTTTATGCTATAAAAGTACTAAAGAATTTGGGTAGAAAAATAAAATAAAATTACGATAATTTTTTTTTGAAATATGTTTCGGTCAATAAGTAATTTAAAACCTTCGAAAACTAATTCGACTTTGGCTAAAATATAATTTTTTTTAAAAAAAAAATAAATATCCCATAGTAAATCTATAAATTCCTCATTCCCGTAGCCAAAATCTTATAAAATTCTCATCAAAATTTTATATATTTTAAGAGCACCTTCTATATATGCCGATCAAAACGTAACTTAAATCAGGATGTATCATTAATATTTACTATCGAGATAACATTTAAAATGAGGAAAGAATTATATATTCACCCTTCTAGTAACGGAAGAATCCTGCCTAGTTAATGCCATTAAATGGCCTAACAAAGTTTTGGTTCGTAACAATCTCAACCTTATGTTAGTAGCACGAGTGAATTCTTGGAGTCTTGTGGCGTAAGAAAAGTTTTGAGCATTTGGTCGGTGATTGATTAAAGATATCGCAATCTTAGTTATATTAGACATAAAGAAATATAGTATGTATATAATTTATTATTAATAAAAATTTAAGTTAAGTGGATTAATGTTTCTTTTTTCTATCTTTCTGTTTTTTTTTCATAAACTAAATAACTTTTTATGAATTTTTTAATAATACTAATACTAAATTAGAGATCTGCAAAAGTAGCCTGAGTCGGGTCTAATAATTTTAAAAAAATTTAGGATGGACATATATTCTTGATTGATATATTTAAAAATTTTTGAAAAACAAGGAGTTAATATTTTTTTATTTTGTAGAATGACCAAAAACTCGATTGTTGTTCAGTGTAAAAAAGAAGAAGTAAAACCATATTGAAATAAAAAAATTAATTTCTTTTTAAATAAATTCGGGCCGGGCAGGTAGCCAACAATTTTTATATTTATTTCAGGTCGCGCTTTTCGGGACAAATAAAAAAAATTGTATGGGATTGAACTTGGCCGGACAAATTTTTTTAAAATTTCTGGCCGGGCCGGGCTTGTAGAAAAATTAAGCCCGGTGCAGGTCACTAATTCTAATATTTACTGATTAATCATATTTGAAAGATCCCAAATATACGATTAAATTAAAAATAAAATGTTTTAAAATTTAAAAAAAAACCAGAATGATTAAATAAAATGAGTTTATTTATATATTTACTTATATTTTAAAATTGAAAAAAATTAAAAATTATCATTATTACAAGATTGACGATTTAATTAAAAGTGTCCATACAAAGCCAGCTGTAGCTCCATTTTGGGGTTTGCTCTTCGACTAATTGTCTACATCTATCCCCATATGAATGCACATTAATGTCATTTAATTAACGTGCAAACCACAAAATGATGCCACAACTGGTTCCTATGCATGGACAGTTAAATGCATTTAATGAATGAATCGCCAATCTAGTAGTATATATTTATATCAATGGATTATGTTAAAGATATAAATTAAACATTAACCATCGTTAAACAAAAAAAAGTGATTTACTTCACCGCCTTCCAGAGGAACGACGTTGGAAAATTCGGTCGTGCATATAACGTCGTCATCATATTCGATGGTTTTTTTAACGTTTTCGCCGAAATATATTTTGCAATTACTGTCGGTGTCGGCAAAATATTGCCATGGTAGCCATGTTTTACCTTGATCTTTAGATCTGTCCAGGATCCAAACAGCGGGTCGCGGGGAATTCGCCATTTTCATGAATACGTAAGCCACGTGAAATGACTAATTGGGTGAATAGACAAAAAAAATACTTCTCGATATATTTTTAATTAGAGTATGTTATTTTAATTTTTTTAGCTATTTTCATTCTTTCTTTATTTTCATTTTTTCCTTCTATTTCTTAAAACAAATTATATACACAGTTTTTAAAATATGCAGTTCTTTTAATATGATTTTACAGATTTTAAATTATTTTCACCGTTTTATAATTATATTCTTAGTTTAATAATTTTCAGTTTTTATCTACAGTTTTTAAATTATTTTCACCCTTTTATAATTATATTCTTAGTTTAATAATTTTCAGTTTTTATCTACAGTTTTTAAATTATTTTCAGTTTTTTAAATAAATATAGTTTTATAATTATTTTGACAGTTTTTTAATTAAATTCTCAGTTTTACTAATTATATTAGACAAGCCCAACTACTAAAATTTGTAAAATTTCGCTGTAAAATTTATAAATTGATTATCAAAACAACTATTTAAGGTAAAAATCAAATAAATACATCATTTTGTAGATTAAAAAATCTCTAGAGGTCTATCGAAATTGACGCCAATTTGAGTCCTGTAACCCTTATGTATCTGCTCTTCTGGAAAACACATTTTTTAAATTTCACTTGGATAAAATAGATGGCGCTCTACAAAAATATGAAGTATGGATAAAATTTTGTTGCTAACTTACCTATAACAAAATATTGTTTTTCATATTTCGAATTATCGATCAAAAGAGGCCCATTTTAGGCTGGCCCAATTTAAAATTGTTATATAGTGAAATTATTTAAATTGTTAAATAAGAAAGCCGTTTATTTTAGCTCGCAGCAAGCACACCTGATTCCTGAGGATAGCACAAGTTTTAGATGTGGTCAATCCTTCATGCTACCTAACAAACACTTTACATTATGATGAGACAATTAAAACTACTCATCTTTTTAAAGTTATTGCTTAAATATATAATTATTTTAATCTCTAACTTTATTTTGTTTTATATATATTTTAAATAATGTAATGAATTTGATTATTTCTATGTCATTAATAAATACGAATAATAAAAAAAATTGAAGAGAGAATTTATTATTAGAATGATACAATTAAAATGTTTAAAAGGCAGTTACCCCCCTGCCTTTCAGTTTAATTGCTACATTTAATATAAATTTAAATTATTTTAGTATAAAAGTGAAAATATCCTGTTATTAGTACGTGAGCAACAAAATTTTAACCATAATCTGTAATTTCGTATAGCTCCATCTATTTTATGCAAATAAAAATTTTAATTTTTGGTAAAAACGAACAATCCGGAAGAGCCGAAGGGTTGCTAGGATTTTTCACCTATTTATAAAAGGTGTATAAATAAAAGGCAACAAAAGACTTTAGAAAACCAACTTCCCTAATTATTTGATTACACATGCAAAGACGCCAAACGGAAGTTAAGGACTTAAATTGGCGCCAAATTTTTTTTCCTTTGATAGACCTTATTATTTTTATTTATATGATGATGAATTTATTTTATTTTTATCTAACTTATTTTTAAGATATAAGTGATTTAAAAATTTTACAGGCCCCAAAATAGCCATTAGCGAGCCAAAATAAACGGCTTTCTCATTTTTTATCGATTTTAAATAATTCCAGCAATTTTGATAATTTTAAAGAGGCCGGCCGAATCATGATTGATTCTTATATTGATTGAACTTCTGGTTGTTATTTTCCCTTATATGATGAATCAACCTTTAAATTTTATCAAATTCGTTAAGTTAAACGATTAAAAACTGAACAATATGTGAATTTATGCAAAGACGCCCCCTTTTGGGAATATATTTATACACTTTATCATTTTTCTCGATTTTAAGGGTGAAACTGGCATCGTTCACAGATCTATTGAATATATATTTCCTTTATTATAAATTAATTTTACTTATTGTATCGCCACCCACGGCTCCCTTTTTTAACCTCCTCCCTCCCAACATATAATTTATTATACAAATATATACAATTTACACTTGTAATATTTTAAAAATACTATTTACACAATGATTTATAAAAAAATGATCCTGAATCTAATTAATCAACTCTAGCAATTAATGTTTTAAATTTTTAGACTTATAAATTATTAAATTCATTTTACTTGGTAAAAGTTCCTTTAAATTGAATTTGTATGATTTTAAAATAAAATAAAGTTTACAATTGTTTTTAAAAATAATTTGAATTATTTTAAAAACGTGGGAATAAGTGATTATTTTTAAAGTTTATTTTCATGTTTTTATAAATATACTTTTTTTGAAATGGGATTATCTTCAAAGTTGGATATAAAGAATTAATTAGTATTATTGATAAGTGATTTTACTGTATCTGTGCTGGTATTTTTATTTTATTTAATCATGTTTATTTTTAGGTTCTCACAATGCTAATTACAAGTAAAATTAACATAGCCAATATAACTCTTCCATAATCAAATTTTTTATTTAATCGGGCATAGGCTTTTTACCTTTCCTATTATTCCCATGGGCTTTAACTAAGTAACTTTGCCTTTTGCGATTACAGGTAACTGCGGCCTGCCCAAAAAACGTGGTCTTCTTAACTATTTCCCATCTTTTATCCCAGTTTGATGGGCTTTTCATGAAAGAACCAAGCGTTGCTCTGTTATAGTGCGCTTATCACATAATTTACTCAAAAAACGTGAAAGTGTGAGAAGACGTGATGAGTAAAAAATTAGGTATGAAATCGTGAGAATCACAGCTAAATCATGACATATGGCAACCCTAGTCCCAGACCGATATTTTTTATAAATATAAATGAGGAGTTTAGTAATGTATACTAAACTCATTTATAAAAATTAAGGTTGTATTATTTCCAAAAATTGTTTTTAATTCTTATAAATTAAATAGGTCGGAAATTAGAAAAATCAAAAAAAAAATTATCTTAAAGTATAATCTTCGTATACGTATTTATGATATTAAATTTAACATTTACAATTTTAGTTTTTAAGAAATGTTTAATTGAATGAAGGTAAATAATGGTAATATGTCAGTCATTTTTGCCACTTTTGAACCCTAATATCTCCAAAATGATAATTAGGTGGCTAAAATTTTGACCATTTCTTAGTTACATTAACCTTTCTTTGCCTACCAAATTTCAAAAAAGTGGGATAGGTTCGGTTGAAAATCTCATTTTTTTGTTTATTTGTATGGAATGACCCTTTAGGTAAAATATAAAAAAATATATCATTTAGAGCTGAGCAAATTTTAAAAAATAAAATTGACTCTTTATTCAGCTCGGAGCAAACGACACTACTGATATTTGATAGAAATAGATTTAAAGATAAATTAACTAATTATATAGTATATACTAAAGGTCTACACTGGGATGGGTTTAGTCGGGTTTTCTAAAATTATTACAACGGTTTTAAGAAAAGGGCGAGCATGGGAGGGCGAATTTTTAATATTTTTCAGGGGAAATAAGCAGAACGGACTTCAATTAATTAAAAATGTTAGTTTTATTTCTTAATATTGCATATTATATGTTTAATTAAAAATACATTTAAATAAAGAGCCAAACCAGCTATTAAAATAATTTTTAGATATTAGGCGCGCAGGTGGGTTAAACAAAATTTATAGATATATAGGCGTGTAGGTAAATTTTTTTAAAAAAATTATAAGTGGGCGGGCGGGCTAAAAAAATTTAAAAACAAAAACCTCTAGCATATATATATATAAAATAGTCGAATCAATATTTAATTACTTAAAAAGAAGTAATATTTAAAAAATATATATAACCTGTCCAAGATCGATGGTGAAATTAACCTCGTTGTACTCGTGACCTCTAGAAAGAGGAGGGCTCTGCCACCATCGTTCCGTTCCATCAACGGCGTATTCAGCTGGATGGTCATCCGGTTGACAATAATCGCATATCTGTCCTTGTATGATATTTAGGTGGGGTCTAGTCCAGAGCTCACTAGATGTAGCCCCTATTAATTTGCAATAGAGCTCGGGAGATTGAACGCCAACTCCACAAGTTGCGCTAGCCTCCACTTTTCGGCCCTCGGCTAGATTGAAATAAGGGGGTCTTAAATCGAGACCTCTGGCCGTTAAGGTTGGTATCGGAACGCTCGAAACCGAGGGGATAGACCGCGAAACATTTTGTATTGAAGTTAATGGGTATTTATCTCTCTCTATATCGAGTTCTGTTGTTAATTCATTTGGAAAATCCGATGATGAAGCCACTTTTAGAATGGTATCATCTAGCTTAGGATTAAGGATCATCTGAACGTCTCCTCTCTCTCCTCCATGATTGTCGAAGGCTTCTTTGGTCAACATAGATTCGGCTACTTGTGAACATATTAAGTTACGTTGCGTACCAATCAAGTTAATTATGTAAAAAAGGAAGAAGATAAAATTCATAATCTTTTCTTTTTTTTAATTTTAAAAAAATATCTTAACTTAGCGTTTCATGGGCTATTTTTTTTTTATAAATCAATATGAAGGAAAGAATAGAAAATAAATTATGAAAAATTAAAATGAAATAAAATATGGGATTTATTTTCTTTTTAAAAAGGGAGACTTGGATAATAATGTTGAAGAAGGAAAGAACACAAGTGCTATTTTTTTTCTTCCTAAAAGATAAATAAAATCATTTTTTAAATATGTAATTTTCTTCCTTTTCTCTTTTTAACATATGGGGAAAAATTATATTATATTAATTTTACATTATAAAGTTTCTAAAAGGGGGAAAAAAAAATCAAGTTTTATAACAACAAATATGTTTTTATTTGTTACAATTATAAAAAAATATCTAAAGCCAAGCCATCTTGAATTGTAAATTTTTATTCGAATGTGTAAATCTTGTTATATATTAAAGATTTATTTGGTTTATCTCCTGAAAATTAAAAACAGATTTCCCAAAAAGAATTTAATTGAAAACCAGCTTTAGCCCTAGAACATTTCCCTACTTTAAAAATGTTCTCGTAATTTTGTTAATGTTACTTATTTTCAAGTTTATCTGTCTTAATCTTAATATATTTTCGAAAGTATATTTTGTCAATATTCATAAAATTAAATTTAGTGTTTATCATAAACTTGTGCAATCATTTTCAAGATTTAAAAAAAAATGGATGGGTAGTTGTAATCTACATTTTTCATCAATAATTTGAGTTAACAAGTCATTCAAAACCAAAAACGAGCACGATATCAAAATCTTTCGCAAGATTTCCCATTTTTTATAACCCTCTTCTCTCGGTTACATTTTAATTTCAAACATTAAAAAAATTAAATTTATGATCAGTTCTAAAGTGTGCACTTTTCATGTTTAAACATCTTAGTCCAGAAAACTTATTTAAAGTTATTTTGGTACACCTAATGGCAGGCGAATCGAGCTTAAAATTGATTGGTCGGGAATAGTAAATACGATATCTTGTTGGAATTGGTGTTAGGGGAGGGTACTAATTATCTTCTTTTTTTGTAAAATTTTATTAGGATTTTCTATTGCTGATATGAATTTCCTTATTTTTGTTTAAATATGTCTATGAGGAGGGGGGGGGGGTTCGAAGTGCTTGCTTTGACAGCTTTAAATGTGCACTTAAAATTTTAAGGTAATCTAGATTTATTTCAAATTAAAAAAATGTAATATATTTATATAATATCTTTACATTTTAAAAAGTTATTAGATTAAAGCTAAATTTTGGTCAATATTAGAATTATTTTTTAATTTAAGAATTATTTGCATATATTAGTAAAATTAAACCACTCATATCAAATATTCTATTTTTTCCTAAAATTAAACCACTCTAATTAAACATTTTATTTTTTCCTGTCACTTGCAATATTAATTTTTTTATGTGATAGTGACTACTTGCTTAAAATTTTATAAAAAAAATTATAACAAATGTAAATTGTAAGATTGTGCAATCAGTAGGAGAGGAAGGGGAGGAAATAATAGCACTCTTTTACATCTTGTAAGCTGGGGAGGGACTGGCAATGCTTCAACCTTACGGGAAAATTTCCCGGCCTAATTTTTTATGGAAGGCCTCATCAAGGTCTTTAATAGTCGCGTTTTTAACACAGAATCCCACCAGCTCATTGTTTTAAAATTTTAACCAGCACGCCGACTCATTGTTTATTTTTTTTAACTTGCCCAATGGTTTTTATAGGAAAAAATTATTCACCCACCTATTGTTTCAGATTTTGTAACCCGCCCTCCTGCCAGTGGCTTTTAAAAAAATATTAGCCCGCCCATTGTTTCCAATTTTTCATCCTGCCCGCCTATGTATTTAAAAAATGTTATATGAGATTTCCTTTGTTCCAGAGATCTTCCGCAATGTTTAAGCCTCTTTCACAGATGCGTTAGTTGCTGAAATAACAGTAGGTATAAATAGAATTGAAGTAAGGTAGATATTAATTTATTCAATGGTTTCGATTTTAGAATGATATAAATATGATATGTATGCATTTTATAATTTTTAAACAAAGCATTTATTATAATAAACTAGGTATAATGTAGTATTAGTTAACTTAAATTAAATTCATAGAATAATATTATAGTGATTCAGCTAATAATAATAAACATTTAATTTTTTTTTACTTTCTTAAAATTATTTTATAATGTCGTTTTGCGGTATAGAGTCCATGGGGATTGTGAATTTTTACGTGATACATGATAAAGCACATTCGCCATCTAAACGTTGTTGGTGCAACAGACTTAAACTAGGTATTTCTCATTTCCATCAATGGATGTTAATGAATAAATTTCGGAGAAAAAATATGAAGATCCCTTTACACGTTTTTGGGCAAGCCCCACATACTTGTACGCATAATAGTCCATGGGCTGTGGGCTGATTGAAAGGGAATGTACCAAAATTAACAGCCAGCACAACTACAGCTATATTTAATAAAATTATATGTTAAGGGAAGACTTTATGCCATGATGATGTTATTAGTGAGATCTAGAAGAAGAAAAAAACATATATCTATAAATAACACTTTAAATATCCATTGAACCGGAAAAACCTCTTTTCCAATTGATGTTAATTTTTCCATATCAATTCGTAATTTATTTATTTTAAATCATTTATTGAAGATGTGTTTTTTATTAGGTCAGCATTGGGCTGGGTTTCGGCCCGCCCGCCCCTGTCCGCTCATTTAAGTGGGCGGGCTCGAGAACGGGCAGGCTGCGGGTGGGTTAAGAAATTTAAACAATGGGCGGGCGGGTTAAGGAAATTAAATTTTTGTTCAAAAACAAACTAAAGAAAAATCATAATTAATTAAATGATCAATAACAATATTTCTTTTTTTATTGTACCAATCGTTTTTTTAAGTGAAGAACACTTTACTAGTTTTTCGATATCTTTATCTAATTGTACCCACCATATATAATATCTCGTAATGGATTTCATTAATGTAATACCCAGATATCCCGTATGCAATATATGTAAAACTCTTTTTTGAAGTGAGTACGGAATGATTAATCTGCCATTTCAAAATAAGATACTTTCATCATTTTTTATTTCATCTATTCTTATTCTAAAAGCTTGTACTTCTGGTGTTTGATTTTGTATATTTGTACCATTTATTAATATTTTTACTCTTCTTAAAATTGGATCTTTTGCGGTTTCCTCTCTAAGTTCTTTTCTTTATAGAGTTAATGTGTCATATGTAAGATTTCTTATATATTTCACCTTTTTATTTTCACTTGTTATTCTATCATCATTTTTCTCTATTGGGTTTCGCGATAAAGCATCTGCAATTATATTATTAGCGCCATTCTTGTACATTATATTATAATCATATGCAGATAATTTATAAGCCCAACGAAATAACCTTTGATTTGTTAATGAGCTTAAATCTCTGTTAGTACCATATATATTTATTAAAGGTTTGTGGTCTTTTCAAATTTTAAATTTTCACATACAAATAGTTATGAAATTTTTCTACCCCGTGTATTATTACTTTCGCTTTTTTGTCTACGTCTTGTAAAGTTTTTGAGGTGTAAGCTATAGGAAATTCGTAACCATTATCACATTTTTGCATGAGTACAGCTCCTTGGTTAGGTGCATTTGTTTCTAATATTAACTCGAGGTTGGTTTATAAAAATGTATAGTATTTTGTTCTGTTACTATTTCGAATAGCATGAAACGATTACAAGAATAGCACGGTATTTTATTTTGGAATGGCAGATTAATCATTTCGTACACGCTTCAAAAAAAGTTTTGACATCTGGATCTCACTTGAGGAAGAGGATATACTTATAACGAATATCATGCTTTGGTGGAAACAAGAGATTTGCCCAAAGAAATCAAGATTAGCAAGAAAAATATTGGCAATTCCTGCAACTAGTGCTTCTTCTGAACGAAGATTTAGCATTGCTGGAAGGTTTTTAGAACAAAGAAGAACGTGTTTGAATCCAGAAAATGTCGATTCATTATTATTTTTGAATTATAATTACATATAATATCAATTTTATATTTATATATATTTCATAAATATTCTATTTGATCAAATAAATTGTCCCTAATCTAAATTGAATATTTGCTTTATGCTTAAATTAATTTCCTAAATTATAAACTTTTTGTAGAAGTGTAATGCTGAAATATTTTTATTAGATGCTTAAAAAATTAAAAGAATGGCCATAATTAAATTTTATAAGCGGGGTTTAATTTTTTTATAAATAATGGGCTGGCGGGTAAAAATTTAGACTAATGGCAGGCGGGTGGGTATATTTTTTGAAAACTATGGGCGGGGCCTGGCGGGCGGGTTAAATTTTTTAAAACAGTAGGTGGGCGGGCTTTTGGTCCAAAAACCCACCCAATGCAGTCCTCTAATTTCTTCCCTATGAATTTCAGACAATTTTACTATGAACTTTATAAATTAAGAGTAATTCGAAATTTTGCAAAAGTGTCTGAAAATCACAGTATAGGCACTTTATTCATGCGCGGATCAAATACATTTTTATCAAATTATATTTTTCAAATTTAGGAACCTACAATAATGGTTTTAAAATTAAAAGATTCCAAATCCCCATAAAATCCATCCAATATAATATTAAATAATATATGCCACCTTGTGGAGTATATTTATTGTAAAATTTAATATTTTCTTATTCCATTTATTTAAAATGTAATTTGTTAAAGGATTTAAACCATTTAATCGATTATTTAGAATGAATGAAGTATAAATTAATAATTTATATATAAAATATATCCAATACTTTAATATTAATGAACTTGTTTATATTATTTTTACAAAACTCGGAACTTAATTAATGAGTATTTAGATAGGAAATCGCGAGAAAATATTGAAATCGAGGCCAATAAAAAAAAGAGGTCGATTAGAAAAAAAAAATAATATTTGTTATAAATATAAATTAATATTTACAATTTTTCTTTTATTATTGGTAAAGCTGTCCTAAACATCAAAGAAAATTCGAAAACTTTATCAAAAAACAGGAAATAAGTTTTATTTTAATAGAAAGTTAAAAAAGATAGCCAAAAACTTATAAGATATTTTCAAAATCAATAAGTTTCCTTAAGGTTTTAAAACTTTCGAAACGGGTTTTGAAGGCAACCCAATATATAATATATCGTAGGGGTTTTAGCAAATTATTACAATGTAAATCATTTTTTTTTAAATTTTAAAAGACTTAATTTTGCTCGAATCATATTACACAATGTTTATGTACTTTCCTTTCTGACTGTCAAGCAAATTGTCGTGAACTGTTGAACTGATTCTGAATAATAGCGAAATAGTTAAAATTCGCAGTGTGGATGATTAAACTATGAAATACGATTCTATAATCAGGTCTTTCAAAATTATGAAAACGCATGCTATAAAGAATTTTGAAAAAATCCGCTAAATACCAGGTCCTGAATTTACGAAATGCCTGCATAATATATATTATAAATAGTTATTTATTTCCTTTATCTTTATTTTAATAATCGTTTTCCATTTTCATTTATTGCAGCTGAGTGTATCAACTTCACTAATGTTGTTAAATAGCCCGATTTAGGACGATTTGTGAAAAAAGCGGGCTGTTAATTTTATATTTATTTCGATTTTCCAAAAAGAATAAGGAAAAGTTAATTTTATATTTATTTCGATGTTTCAACTGTGAGCTCTTGAAAATAGCAACACCGATAATCGCTTCACCTCAAGAAATCTTCTATTGAAGGATATTTTTTAATTGGGTGAAATATTTAGAATTAATCAGGATTAAAAATTGTCGATTACGATTTGGGATATTAATATTTTAAATTTAAAAGAAGATTTTTGGAAATAAATAAAATTTTTGCATATTTCATTTGTATATTATATAATAAAAATTGGATGTTATTTCATATTAATAAAGATTATGTACATTAATTTAATAAGAAATACGTCCTTAATTTATTTTAAAATTTATACAAATTTAAATCAGTGCTATTCAAGTTAGCTATAAAATAGATAATTTAACTAAATGCTTCATTATAAACAAAATTATAATAGGATTTGTAATGAACTAGAGTCTAGCAGTGAATTACTAGCGTTTTCTAAGTTTATTTTTTTTTGAGTTAGAAGTTTTTCCTTGTCAAAACTCAAGAGTTAATCGTGCAAGATATTAGAAGGAAGGTCAGTTCAGAAATTAAATTATTTAGTTGGGCATTTTGAGACTAGAGACCGAACTATGGGTAACCCATCCAACTCGAATTAATATGAATCGGGCGGGTTCCAACCTCTTTTATAAAATCGGTTTTCGATTAAGTTTATATTATCAAAATTTATACCAAATAGTCCAAAATTCCTGAACCCGAATTCGGGTCCAGAACCCTTTTTAGTTTCGATTCGATATAAATATTCTTAAAGTAAAATGGGAAATTTTATAATTTTTATTCACATTAATCAGTAACCCAAAATTTAGCAATTTACCAGGCATTTGAATTAGTCGTTTATAAAAATCGACTCGAATGGAACCGTTTTACAAAATACATTTGAAAAATAAATATCAAAAAGTATAAATTGCTTATAAAGAAAAAAACACCCAGCGAGTCGACTCCTTGATCAGCTTGAGGCGGAGCCGTTTTTTGACTACGACTCGAGATCTGAGTAGTAAGAACTCGACTATTTAACAATACTAATATTTTGTATACTTCGTTTGGAATTCGCGCTAACTGTGAAGTTTAATTTTAAATTATTCAAGGCACTTACGTATGATGGCAGAAACTTATAATAATACTTCTTTTATCCTTTTTTTTAAATATATTTTAATTTTTTTGATTTTATATATTTTTTTAAAAATAAATAAGTTTAATTAAAAAACAATGGCATTACACTAGGGGTTCTAGCTTTTAAAATCTATAAAATCTTTTTTTTTATTATCATCATCTCTATAATAAATATTTAAATATTTATATCTAAATAAAGTAATCGCAAAAAATTTATATAAAATTTTATATCGTATTATTATAAAAGATAGTTTTAGTGAGGTGATTTATAATACAAAAAAATGATCTGTAAATGTATATGTATTATATAATATATTTACAATAAACTGAAAATATTTGGAGTTTTTAATAAAAAAAATATATTATTTTAAATCTTAACTTAAATTCCCGTAATTTTTTTTTGTATAAAACTCGAAAATAAATAAATTATACAAATGAAAATAAAATTTGCACTTATATCAATTAAAATTAAACAATATTTTATTCAAAAAACAACTTAAGAAAGTATTATATTGGCCACAAACTATCTTCGTACAGAGTTGAGTGGGTGGTCCTTAAAGGTGTTATATTGGTTAGGAATGAGAACAAAATACTTTTAAGTTTTTTAGTGATGAGTAAAACTAAACAAAAATGCGATTTATAATAGTGCTTGGCTAACGATATCATTCTATGTGAGTAATATATAATTGGAGTATAGATAGACTAGTAATGATAGCCTCACGTTTTAAAAAAAGAAGTTTAAATAAATCTCCTAAATACTCTTTTTAACAATAATTACAACACGGCATAAAACTAGCCTAAAAGTAAGATAAATAAACGGCGAAAATTATAAATCATTGGATTGTTTTTCAGTATAATTTTGCTCGTGGCATGAGGAAAAACATTTGCGAAAACCAGCTTTCAGGGAATCCGTGGCTGAACAGAAAAATCCATTGCTGTTTAGCGTTTTGAGGTGGACCGGTTTCCCATTTGAAAAATCTTGCATTTTATTAGAGGCGGAAGAAAATTTTCGAGTTGAGCGATTTTCTGAAAAGGTATTTATAAAAAATATATAGATAAATCATAAAGAATATGTAAAAATCAAGTTTAAAAAAACTATGTATAACAAGTGTACTAGGATATATTTTGTAATTTGGTAGAGTTGTAATGGACTTAGAGAAATTGTCGGAACAAAAATCTTCTTCCTTGGATTCCGAAGAACATCCAGAATCAAAATCGGTTGTGGAGTCAACATTACTAGATTGAGTTAATATTTTATATGGATTTAGATAGATCTTTAAATGCGGTTTTTTTAAAAAAGTCCTAAAAATTTGATTCGTATAAAATGTTTTGTTATTAATTTTTTCGCATGCAATTTTAAAACCATAAAATCTATAAACTTTATATTTAAAAAAGATGTTTACAAACCTTAAATCCCTTTTATGATCGCTGGAATCTAAAGATTTCTTAGTGCATTCATGTGTACCCTTTGTAGTAGCCTTACCATCGGGAAAAAAAGAAGAGACGGAGGGAGATTTAAACAAATGCAGGAAGGAAGTGAACGGATTTTCCAATGAATAATCTTTGGGAATGTAATAGGTATCATCTCGCGACATTAAAGCCCCCACATGTCGCGGGCTGGCCAACAAAAGAGAATGCTGTAAAAGACCAGGCGAAATTAGTATGTCTTCATTATCGTCTTTATTTACAGCAAGTGGTACAAGATAACTATCATTGATCTTATTATTATTTGGAGTTGTAAATGGTGAAGGGTTGTTTGTGTTAACTTTCGCAAACGATGCATCCTCGTCGTTTATAACAGAAGAGATATTGGTGCCGAGATTTGTCGTAGACAAAGGATATTCCTGAAGGATTTTTTTATATGTATAATTAATTTTAAATTTATTATTTCGTGGAATAAAAATATTTTACTTATTTATATATTTTTATTATATCTTCTATTATAATATGGCAATATACCTGACGCAATGCTTCAGGTTTTTCTTGTAACCAAGGTTGTATTTCCAAGTATTCATCAGATAATGTTCTTCTCAAAACACCTAATAATTAATGATATCATGAATAATTTTAATGAATATAAATTTTTTTAATAAATACTTTCAGAATTATATAGTAAGTGTAATTAATTTCGAGCCAGGTCGAGCAAACCGGCCTGACTCATTTGGAAAATATACTTGTAAAAACTCGACCCGACTTAACTTGAAATGATTTTCGGTCAAATAATTTAAAATCCTCTGGACCCTACCCATAAAAATACTAAGACATATGATATAACCTTTATTCGTTCTTATAACTGAGACATTCCCCTGGCATCGGTATTTTCCAGTGAAAAAATTATTATCCCGAAATTTGTTTATGATGATATGTAACAATTTGTTTATAGCACCGAATGAGGGTGGCCGCCAGTCTGGATCAACCTAAGAAAAGGATATATATATATGTAAAATGCGAAATATAAATTTCGTGATATAAAAAAATGGCTGTCAATGGTCTAATATGCTTCAAATCAGTAGCGTCGTTAGAGGGGGGGGTGTGGAAAAAGGCTTTAGACAACTAAAAAATTAATATTTTTTTTTAAAAAACACATGACCAAGGGTGTCGAATTGGCCGGCAAAACCAAAATAAGCCGTTATAATCTTCCGAACTAACAGTAAAAGTGAGCTATTTCTAATTGAAATAGCGATGCCATTGCGCCAAGTTATTATATGTTCTATGCGTTTATATTGAGTATAATCATTTAAATTTAACATAATAATTTACCATGCAGCACTTGAACGCTAATTCTAAGAAGTCCGGAGGAGAATCAACACATATCTTGCTAAAAGCTATGTAATCTAAACCAAAATTCTGGATTTTTTTATAAAAGAAATATGTTTTAAATATTATATATAAACTTTATCTTTCTTTCTTGAATAATAAATGATTTTCAATATTAAAAATTGCTCATAATAAATAAATTTATCTAGTGACCAGGATGGATGACCGACAAAATGTATTCTAAACTTGATCTAGATACAGTTGACTATATTAATTGTGAAACAATCTAAAGTGGTCGGGGTAATTTTCAAGAGAGCTTTTTTTTAAAAAAATTCTTATAACCCACCGGATAATTAATGATCCGGGTTTGGCTCGGGGAAAAAAAATTCGATCCAGTACATCTCTGCTTAAAAAGTTCTCACACTTCTATCGTTTTGATTTTGTATACCTGGGAATTATAAATGTTTTGTCGGCCATAACGTTTACGACATTTAACAGATTTCTTGTCATCTGATAATATGTTATACGTGGACTAAACTGTAATACCTTGAAATCTCATAATTAAATAATGAACCCTCTAAATATTACAAAAAAAAATGGAAATGCAATTACCATAGTACGCGGTAAGAAATCGGGATCTGCTTCTATTCTCCCAATCATTTCGCAAAGTATTATACCGAAGGAAAAGATATCAGCCTTTAGGTTCATAAAATAAAAAAAACATAATTTTTTAACACATTAAACTTTATAACATCAATGGGCGTGTTCGAGTCATATGATACTTATTAATACAGAGGCATAGGGAGACAACCTTTTAATGGCTGATCCAATATTTCCGATCTTATACGACTTATCTAAAAGCGTTTTTAAAATCGTAATTATCCTAAACTTATTATTTAAATATTCCTATTCCGTTTATCTAATTTTCTATTTTTTAAAGCATCGTATCATAAATAATATTTCGCCCTTTTGATTTTCCGGATTGGTCAATTTAGAATATGGTCTAATGCCGGATATTAAATAACCGGTATGTACTTATAAACTTTTAAAAAACTTTTGTCATCAATTTACAAATATAAATTATAAATTGTAGTTTAAATATTTTATTTAAAAAACTAACTTTTGTCATCAATTTACAAATATAAATAATAAATTGTAGTTTAAATATTTATTATTTTATTTAAAAAACTAACTTTTTCATCGTAATATTTTCCTTGTAAGCATTCCGGAGCCATCCAAAATGGAGATCCGACAATTGGCAATCGCGATCGTAAACTAATGTATAAAAAAAATACAATTCGAAGATTTAAAATTGTATAAGTTATAAACGCAATCTATAGTAGTGATTTGCATCAGGTCTAATTTTTAAAGCCCGATACGAACCTGCCCAAATCTTTTTAAAAAATATTATGCGCGACCCAGCCTGAACCAAAATTATAAGAAGGTCGGGCCGGGATTTGCAAATTTATTCTAATATATAGATCTTTAGTAGCCCATAGCAACCGATTTTTTATAAAAAAGACGACATAAAAATATTTAAAATCAATTAATCAGCTGGAAGGAGATAATGATTCAATATTCATTTGAGCCGTAAAATAGGCATATCAAATTTTTACCAGAATTTTCAAAAAAAAATTCAGGAGTCAAGTCAGGGCTAAAAATTTCGACTAGGGTAGATATTTTATCTATAGTATATTTGTATTAAAAAAATTATTAATTAAACACTAAAAGTAAAATAAAATATGCATATTTTATACCAATTTGATTTCGGTATTTTGGAAGCTAACCCCAGATCACCAACTATGGCAGTGTAGGCACGACAGTTTTTTCTTATCAGACAATTCTATAGAAATAGGGGGGTGGGGGGGGGTAATTAGATTATTTTTTATTGAGATAAGAGTTGTGAAATTAAATTTCAACTCCAGCTACAATATATAAAAAAAGCATTTATGTTTACAGATTTGTTAATATATGCTCGTTAAATTATTTTGAATCGGGAAAATACCCTATGTGGATTATCAATTATTTAAACTTTGGAGGTAAGGTCCCTGTGAAATATTCCCTTGCCGTGCAAGTATTTCATTCCCTTTGTTATATCGATACCCAGCCCTATCCTATCATCCCATGGCAATTCAACATCCGTGTCTAGGATCAATTGTTCCAAATCACCGCCATTTATAAACTTTAATTATTTTTTTAAAATGTTTTCATTATTATGTGAAGTTTTATTTATTTAGTATTTCTAGCTGGGTGTGGGAAAATAAAATCAACTTTATTTAAATCAAATAATCTTCTGAAAAAAAATTGATTCAAAATGATACAGAAATTCATTACTTAACTATAAATATTCTTAGAAATTATTTTAGCACTTTAGAAAGAGGGACATAGCCACATTACATCTCTTATCCAGTAATTGTGTTAATGTTAAAATACCTTATAATAAATTTATTTTATTAACTATACGACTTTAAAAAAACACTAGCCCTTTTTAAGGTGGGTTTTAAATTTATTATTTGTTCAATGTAGTTATGTAATTGATGCTTTTGTAATGCAGTGGAAAAAATCTCAATTTTTCAATATTCACTGATTCATAAAAACTGATCAATCAAAATTAATAACTCATCTTATCTTAAGCTCTAAAAATATGCGGGAAAAAAGTGATATAAGACAACCTCTTAATCTATAACGATTAAGGTTATATATGGGATTTTATCAGCGACACCAGTAGCACAGCTTACAGCGGTCACTAGCCCCCCTTCCCCAAAATCGATGAAATTATTTAAATATTTTAAAAAAAAATAAAACAATATTCTCGTAGAAATTTTTTTTCTCAATTTTAATCTCATAGACAGTAATTATATTAATTGTAATATAATATTTAAAGTATAAATTATTATTTTAAACAAACAATGTCAGATATGATTATGATGATAACGAAATGAAATATATTTCCGTAGCAATTATTTTTGTATTTATAATATTACACCATCATCAATATAATAATAAGGCATTGTTCAAATCCTACATTTTTTTGAAAGTTAATTTATTACTAAAACACTATTACATTGCAAATTATCTAATTTGAGTACACTTAATGAAATTTTATTTATACAATTAAAACAAAATTTTAGGGCGTGAAAATATGAAATGGAATAACCCAAAAAAATATTTCTTGCATTTTTTAGTATAATATGCCTAGATTATAAGAGATTCTAAATCAAAATTTCTATAAAATACATTGAAAAGTTATAAATACATTGAAAAGTTATAAATACATTGAAAACACATTTGAGGTCCGCCATTGAAAAAATTTAGAAGAAATATGAAAGGCAATGGTGTCTACTACAGCCAAGATTACAGCTGACTTGGACGTATGTAATAAATGAATCATCAGTCAAGGTTTAGTGTTGATAAACGGCTTATTTTTCAAAACGGCTAATTATACTTTAGCAAAAAAGTATTACGCAAGCCTGGAGATTTTTTGCTATTGGCAGAAAGGTTTGGAAATCCATAAACGAAATCTCCAGGCTAGCATATTATTTTGGCTAAAATATTTTAAAATCGTCTATATCGTGCTGTTTAATCACACTAATCTGGGTAGTATTAAATGGCATTGCTGTTAAATAGATACATATTTATACAGTTTTTTAAAAAAAACTTTTATATACCAAGATGTATACATTTTGATTAGTTGTTTTTAGTGTTGAAACGGCCTGATTTTTTAAAAACGGTTACTCAATATTTTAGCCAAAAAATAAGAAACGAGCCTCAAAATTTTGTTAAATCTTCTATGAGCTAAATCTCCAGGCGTGCCTAATATTCTTGGCTAAAATATTAGGATCGCCATTTTTAAAAATTGAGCCGTTTAACAACGCTAGTTGTTTTAAAATCAAATTATAGATGATTAAATAAATTAATAAAATTTCACATAGCTTTCTTTTAAAAAAAAAGTCAAAAATTTTTTGCAATTTGTGTTTACGCCCCTCTATGAATTTTTTTTTTAATTATAATAACCAAGGATCTATTAAAGTTTTATATGGAAACAAAACAAAATAATCATATGATTAATAAATATGTTAATTTAAAAAAGAAATAATAAACATTTAACTTTTTTGATTTCATAAATTATTTGGCAAAAGGTATTGTAATAAAAACTATTTTTCAGATAAAACGGCCGTGTCGTGATAAAATGTAAGAATTTATATACAAAATTTAAGTCTTTTTACGTTTTAAACAAGAATTTGGCTAAATAATTTATATAGTATTTATAAAGTTATTTAATCAAATCAACCAAAAAAATATAGTTACTCAAATTAGTTTAAAGAAGTATAGCATTCTATTCAGAAAAGCAGACATCTTTTTTTTGAACTTTTTATATGTAGATTTTGACATAAGACGCTTTACTTTTTAAAATACGCTTAAATTGTGTACTTATTTCTTACGTGTTTCAGTCTAAAAATCATATCATATTCTATTTATTACAGCTATTTAGAATTTTAACTAGAAAAAGACAAAAAAAACCAAGGCTGAGAACCCTCCTAAAAAAATGCCTTCGGATTTGGATTTAGTGAAAAATCTCTGAACCCGGTTCGGGTTCAGGGTTCGGAGACCAGAAAAATGATGACTTATAAAAATTAGTTAAAATAACAGAAATTTATTTTAATTAATATTGCCATAAAAACAATTTATCATCATAATTATAATATATAGAGTAAAATATACTATCATACAATTTAAAAAATTATTACATTTCTAATTTAAAAATTTTATTTAGGCGAATTATCCGATTATCTTCTAAAATATCCTCATTAGACTTCCAATTTAAAATTTTTTTTAAAGAGCTTGGACCTTTGAACCCTAAATTTAAAAATGGTCAGGGTTTTGGTTCAGCGAAATATCGAGGGTTCAGGAGGGTTTGGGTTCTCAGCTTTGAAAAAAACTGCAGGTTTTAAATTAATATTAGTAAAAGACATTCTTTCGAGACCGAAAAATATTTGGTTGGGCATTTTGAGACCACAGACTCATGAGAGACCGTTTATAAGCAACCTATCAAACATGGGGTAATATAGACCAGAAGCGGGTTCGGACATCTTTTAGAAAATCGGGTCTCGATTAAGTTCCTATCCTGCTAAATAGAGTTTAAAATGCCTGAATCCGAATTCGGGTTCACCTAGATTTATGAGAAAGTTATAATAGATAAAAAAATTAATACCTCTGTTAGTGCGTGAAGCTGTCCCCCATTAACGCATACACCGAGAAATCTAAATTTTTTAAAATATTGAAAAACTTTATATAAATTTTTATAAAAAAATGTAATATACATATATTTGATCAGTTTCATCTTATTACTTAAAAAATACGCCGTGAGCCGAAAGGTAGAAAATGAAATCAAACTAAATAAGAAAATATTAGTAAAATATGAGAATATATTCAATCGTGTTTTAGAAAAGTTCGGTGGTAATCGAAGAAAGTAAACATGAAATAAGCAATTTTTTGGCAAAAGTTCTATGACCGATTAAGTAAATATTTGCAAATTTTATCGCAAAATAAAAACAGCAATTTTGATTGAGCAATTAATAATTGTGCTTGTAATCTGATAAGGGATATCAAGTAATATATCAAGGCACATTTATTTACATCGTTTAAAAATGTCTCGAGAGGATTTAGAAAATATTCATGTAAACACGAGGAAAAAAATAATGAATCATCCAAACCACATAAACTCAAATTGTATAAATCGCTTTCCAGATTATTTCCGTATAAACTAAAATAAACATTATTTTAATAAAATTACGACTGCCAGTTTTATCCAACTCAATTTCTTATAAATTAACCACCGTGTTCACTTGCTAGTTAGTAGCAATAAAAATATAATATAATTACTTAAAATGCAAGGATAACGGAATCAATTAATCAAATAGATAATTTAATCTTTAAAATTTCAAATCATGGCACGCAAAAAAAAATAATATTTGACCTAAACTTGACATCAATGATATTTTAAAATATTTTTTTGTTAAAAAAAAATCAAGTTGCTTTGCTAGAAACCTTAGTTATCAACTTAATAAATTCAAGATTTAAAATATATACATTTTTAAAAATTAATTAATAATTTTATATCGATCGAAAAATTTAAATTTTTTATTTTTTTTAAAATATGTAAAATATTATAAGAATGTTGTATGCCGAGCTGACGACGGTGAAATATTTGAGTAATAAAATAAATATTAATCTGAATCAAATATAATTATTTATTCAGTTTTCGTTATTAGTTTATTAACTCATTACGGTGAGAATAAAAGAGATAATAATATATATTTTTATATATAAAAATAATAAGGAATTGATGAAAAAAAAATGCGCGTAATTAGCTAAACTCTACTAACTTATGAAATTTTAATAAAAGAGAAATAATATTGTACTTATTAAGTAATGGAAATATAAATTATAAAGTATTTTTTTTATATATAAGATAACTTTTTGAATAATAAAATCGATAAACTTTTAAATAAAAATCGTTATCATTTTCAAGAAAAAAAAATATAGACCTATTATTTTATAATATAATTAAACTTATCGGGAAAATAAAAGATAAATGAGTCATTCATTGTGATAAAATAATTTAATAAAAATGTAGTAGAAACTTTGGGAAGGAAAGGAAGCAATATCAGGAAATAAATATATTAGAATAAATTGGCAAATCGATTAATTTGATCGGGCCATAAACTAACGGGTCGAACAAAGGGTTCTTCCCGGCCAACTCGGAATTGGAATTTCCTAGAATATAGTTTATAATTTTTTCATGTTTTACTTTAAAAAAGTGATAGATCGGACTTTGACTTTTGAAAAACAAAAAAAAAATGGTCAGAAATATATGAAGAATAAAAAAGGTTAGATTAAGTGTTCAAGTCAAGAAGGACGTAATAAATAAGTGTTTCTGAGAAAATAAATAAGGGCGGGCATATTGATTCTCCCCTTTCTTTGCATTTCACTTTATATAAATTTAAGGTTGAAAAATTTAATCAAACTTGAGAACGTTGGGGTGAGATAAAGAATTCATCAATTGAATCTCCCTTAGCACGTTACATCGATTACTATTATGCTTATTGACTTTCAAAACCATCGTCTCATTAGTCAATATATGAGTAACCTATTGAATTTTTTATAATTATTATTTAAAAAATATTGAATTATTTATTTCCTGTAACAAAAAAAAATCTAAACTTTTTTGCCGCTTTAGGTAAAAACAAGATAAGTTTTAGATTAAAAAATTTTGTATATTTCCTGAGGTTTTAACGGTTATCTTTTTCTTCATTCATCTTTAAAAATGAAAAATGTGTTTACCTTTATGAGAAAATTCTATTATTATGATGACTAATATTGTTTGTAAAATTGTAAGGAAGGAAGGAAGATAAAAAATCATAATTCCTAACAATCAAGCAATTAAAATAAAAATGAAATATTTTTAAAATATTATAATAAATCTTTTTACAAAATTATTATTTTCGATTTGATAGCCGATTAAAAAATTAATAATAAGAGGTAAATATAATATTACTTTGCCAAAAAAATAGTGGGTCTTAATGATATATTCCGATCTGAGTGGCAAAAAAAATTTATGGGCTGGGCAAATTGTTTAAAATATTTTTAAGCTTTAAATATGTGTTAGCTGATAAATTAAACTAATTTATATCTTTTTCTAACAAAATTATTATGGACCGGGCAACTTGCATAAAAGATATTTGACCGAACCAAAAAATTCGATAAAATTTCCAAGGGCCAGTTTGAGCTGGGCCGATTTCTAGTCGGTTTATCGCTTAAAGGTAATAGTTATAAATAATCGTCTACACGGAAACAGACGTATTTTAATTAATAAAGTTTTTCCCTAAAATGCATAACATATTTTGAAACTACCTTATCAAAAAAATCAAAAATGATAATTATTAATTATGTATATTTTGTAGTGTAAAATTGCGGTAAATTTCTGGCTTGATTTAAAATTTTATAATTGATTATCATTTTTAGTTTTATCTATTATTAACTAAATTTTCAGATTTACAGAACCAAAATCAAATTGCAGTATTTAAAAATTGGATATTTTTTTGAATTTTAATATAATAAAATAAGGATTCAAGTGCAGATAGTAATAAATGTGACCAAGCATATCAAATTATACATAGGTGAAATGGGCCAGTTAATTCGATGGATGATAGCCAACATATCCATGGAGGGGCTAATGTCCATTGTGGTGTATATGATTTTTAATGGCATATATTTTATAGAAGGAATATATTGATTTGGGTTTCTGCTACGGGTTTAAAAATACGAATAAAAGCTAAGGGCATACCAGAGAGATCTTTTAGCGCATAAGGCTAAAAAGTGGCGAACTATTTTAAAAGTAAAATAGGAAAAAAATATATTTAAAACTACCTTTGTAATAATTAATAACTTATGTAATAGTTTAACTTCTTTTTTACGACTATTAAGCGCTTAAAATCTCTGGTATGACTTAAGCCCATGTAGTGTTGTTAAAAGGCCGAGTTAGAGCCAATTTTTAAAAACAGCTAATTCAATATTATAAAGCAAAATATTTCCTAAGTTGGAGATTTTGCTAATAGATGCCCAAACATTCGTGTCATCTATGAGTAAAATCTTTAGGCTTGCGTACTATTTTTCTAGAAAGAATATTAAGTTAGCCGTTTTTCAAAATCGGCGGCTCAAATCGGGCCGTTTAACAACACTAGCCCCTTGAATACTTAAATATGTTACAATGTTTAATATTTAGGGGTCGCTTTTCAAGGCTTAATTTCACAAATATCAAATTCCTAGTTCAATCAATCGAATTCTTAACAGAAATAACTAGAAATAAGTTAATCCGTTTCCAGTTCACTTATTTTTTTTTTAAAAAAGGATATAAATCTTATAAACTATATTACATTTTTTCTAACAACCCTATTTCATTTTAATTTTCATTTTTTTTATCTATCGTATGCATGAGAATTTTTTAGTTTCAATTTCAATATATTATTTATTTTTTTAAAAAATGAACTATTAAAATGAAAATCTATTTTATTTTTTTATTTATTTTTTCACGGCTCTTTAAACAAATCAAGAAATAACCCATTTAAATATTTTTTAAAAAAATCAAAAACTATCTATATGATACTCTTAAATTTTATCAATTAATTTTATGTGTATTAAAATTTTTAAAAAAAATAATGGGGTTGGAATTAGAGATCTGCAAAGTGCTGCAAAAAACAAGGCAAGGCGTCATTTCTAACAATAAAAAAACTATTATAAATTTTTATATTTAAGAAAATTCAAGCCGTGCAGGGCGGGCAAATAATTCTTATTTCTAATCGGTCTTTTAGGGACAAATAAAAAATTTGGGTCGTGTTTAAAAATATTCCTCGATGCAGATCCACTCGTTGGAATTATCGTTATGAACTAGAATTGTACAACAATATTATAATATATCACATAAAAGCTTGTAAAAATTAAATTTATTCATTTTATTTTTAAAAATCGTTCGTGCTTTAAAACAAAAGAATTAATTTTCCTAATTTAATAAACAATGTTTAGATTTGATAGCTTAATTATTATTTTATAGAATGGCACGTTTTTGACTGAAAATAATAAAGTATAGTTAGATATTAAAAAAATAAGATATAATTAAAATCGCAATAATATCCTAAGTAACGTTTACACGAAAAAAAATGATTGACAATTTTTAAAAATTTTTTTATTTAGCTACTGAGACTGACCGTCGAATTTCTCATTATTTATTTGTCAGATACTGATTGATTATTTACCCCTTTGCAATATTTGAAAAGTGTATGAGAGGGTGATTATTTATTGTTATAAAATAATATAAATGACCAAGTCGCTACTCGCTTACCTACTATTGATTATTTATTAAATTTAATACCTCTTAAATTATGATAATAAAATAAAAAATTTAACCTTAAAGACTTCCGAAAAAAATCCGGTGCCAATCAATTCGGGTTCGAAATCGTCTATGCGATAAAGCCTGTTGACGGCGGATTTGATGGCTCTAAGAGAGGGCGGTGCGATAAAGTTAGACATGGAGTGGTTATCACAAATTTTAAGCTTCCCGTCGAACGTTTTTAAGGGTTGATGGAGAGGTTGGGAACAGTTGTTTGAAGGTTGGATTCGGGCGGCGATGTTTTCGATGAAGGATTTTCTAACCGAGAGTGATAAGGAACAAAAAGACATAATCGGAGAGGGAGAGATCGATGGGTGAAGATTATTTTGATGATTTGAATCCTTATTATTAATCGAAGCCGAAGAACTTTCTGGGATGGTTAAAGCGAAAGTTTCCTTATCGAGAGCAGAGTGAAAAGAATTTTGTGTGGTAAAAGGGTATGAAATTTTTATGGGTAGGTAACACCAACGATCTAACCCAGAATCCTGGGAAGCGTAAAGCCGCTTTTGGTAACTTATAAAAGGATTCGCGTTACTGAAATCTTCGATTCCAGTTCTCATTTCTGGCGGGATTTTATTTTCAAAAGAGAGCTTACGTTTGGTAGATTTATCGTACAATGATCCGTGACTATCGTGGCGACTAAATGAGCTGGTTTCCGTTGTAGCAGCATCAGTATGAGAGCTTAGACCGAATCCCGAGAATTTATCGGATTTCGTCCTAACGTAATAGTAATGATTTCTAAAAGAATTTCTTTTATTAAGGATTCGAGTTTTTGTCGAGATGCTAATGTTATCACTTGATGAATTGAGCAGTTGGTATCCTTTTGAGTCATTTATATCGACGTCATTAGATCGAAGAGAATTTAGATATGGAGGACTTTCGGACATTGGATAAGTTATTTTATTGTTGTAGTATGGCGGTGGCGTAACGTGTTCTATATTTAATGAGCTGATGATTTGTGTTTTGAAGGTTGAGTTAACTTTGTAATTACTTATATCCGCGTGTGGAGTGTTTTCCGGAATTTTGATATTCATGTTAGGTATAGAAGGGTCAATCAAATCTCTCGAAGGCGGAGAAGAGCTCAAAGGCGGATGTTGAATATGTCTTATACCGTATATCATTATAAAACAATTCCTCTCTTTTGCTTCGTATTTATAAAAATTACACTAATGAACGAAGGTGAAAGATTATAATTTTCATATAATCGAGTTCTACACAATAAATAAAAAAATATATAAAATTTTATTTTATTTTTTAAATATAATAAATAGGTAAAAACAAATATATTAAAATATTACAAATACAAATGATATTTTATAAATTAAATGTAATGGATAGATGATAATAAATTGTACGATAAATATTATAAATAATATTAAAAAGGTATTGATAATTCATTGTGGGTAGTATTTTTTTTATTTTTCAAAAACTCTCATCATAATATTATAAGACCAACATGCCTTTATGGTTTAGTATTAATAAAAATAAAATGTAAAAAAGCGGCAAAAGGCTCCATAAAAATTTTTTTTGTAAGCATTTAACACACAGAAAAATGAACTATGCTAACCTTATTTTATTTATTTTTTATTACTTATTAGTTTTATGATTAAAAATTTATTATTTTTGCGGTATTTTAAAGTCAAAATATGGGTAGTGGATAATAAACTTTTTAATTTTTTCTTCTTATATTTAATCTGGTAAATTGTAAGGCTGAATTTTAAAAAGACTATTAAAGCGAAGAAGGAATATATATCTTCATTGTTCCAAAAAATAATTTACGAAAAAAATTAAAATTCCTCAAATTTTTAAGTTTGAAAAATATTTCGTACATAATAAAAAATATCAACATATTATGTCGGGTTTATGTTTTACAGGTCCTCTAAAAAAGCTAAGGGTAAAACTATGAGGGCGCATTTTTTCTACCAGATTACAAATGTAACCGCATACCTTTTTTCAAAAAAGTTTTGGACAGTAGAACGGTCTGATGAACCTCCTAGGAAAATTATGCGATTTGTATGGATTTTATAGATTCCGCGTTGACAAGGAGCCCCATTTTACTGGAAGATGCAATTTGCAGATGCTCTAATAATTGAATTGATAGAATCAGTACTTCGCTAAGGATATCTTGATATTTATCAATTTCTATTACATTATTTATAAAGAAAATATATCCTAAGTCTTTTGCATTCATGAACCCCATGCCATTATACCATTAGCATAAGGCTAGCAATCAATATGGAAGCATGGTCTTATATAATCCAATATCAGAGAGACCTTAAACTTATGTCAAATTTTGATTCGTCGGTGAATATTGTGTTCTCCCATTATGTATTATAAAAAAAAAAATTATATCTTTTCTTCTTACGTCCTCTATTTTGAGTAATCTCGAAATCCCCGGCTATTTTTTATATATACGTCATTATATTTTAACTGGTAGATCGACTTAAAGTTAATTGGTTATTTAAAAAAAAATAAGCAGACGGTAGTTAATTTTTATAGGATAGATAAGTTAATATGGGCTAACATTTTGCTAATCTAAGCGTTGCGGATAGCTGTGTACAACGTGGCAATTTTTAAAACACTTAGAATTTAATTCTAATTAAATTTTTAAATAAATTAATATGACATACATTTACATTAAATAGAACATTTTTTTTATTTGAAAATGAATGTAGGCTAAAAAGGATGGGTGCTCGAATTTCAGTGAGGTGGGGTAGTACATAGTATTTTTAATCACTTTTGAAGTTGATGTAGATTTATACCACATGTTTTGGAATGTAACCTTTAAAGTTGCTTATAACATAATAAATAATATCATTTATATCATTATTTTATATATTTTTATATAATATTTTTTTTGAGCCACCTGAGGGGTGCCATGCTAATATAGTAAAGATTTTATATAAAAAGGATTTAAAAAGTTAGATTAGCTCCCTGAGAAGGAGGATTCTAGTGAAACTATTGTAATTCAAATTATGTATGGCGATAGAAAGCCTTTGCCTGATGTAAAAACTTTTCCTAGGTTCATTGGTAATCTTAAGGATATGTAAACCGAGTTCTTATAAAGGTTAAAGCACGCCACCAAATTAGGGGAGATTATAGGCATAAAAATGTGCTCTTCGGATATTTCCAAATATTTATTTATTTTAGACAGCTCTTGGATATCAAAGATGTTTGTGTTAAGATTTTTAGGGGATCGATACATAGTCCCAAATTAGAAATGACCTTTTTTACAAGGAATTTGGGTTATGGTTTTCCATCAGATCTAAAAAAACCGATAGGTTCTAGAAGGGCATGTTGAATAATGGAATCGCATTGATTGTGTCTATGGAAACTTCATTTGAAGAGTAAATAGGAACACTACAATCAGAACAAAGGTGTAATAGGTAATTGAGCAGTTGAGAATACCAATGGCTTGTGTAATGAGTTACCATTGAAGATTAAGAGAAGGGATAGCTTTGAGGAACTCGTGCCCTGAGCCTTTTAGAAGACGAAAAGAGGAGAGGACGATTGAAACAAAGGCTTTCTATCTCCATACATAAATGAATTACATTAGTTTTACTGGAAGCCTCCTTCCCAAGGAATCAACCTAACTTTTTAATCCCCGAATCGGGTCGATTTTTAAAAACGGCCATGCCTCGAAATTTGGCAAATAGAGCTCAAAACCTTTCTGCCATCTATGAGCAAAATTCTAGACTTACATAATATTATTTTGGCTAAAATCTTAATCTCGCCGTTGGCTTTTTAACAACACTAATATTTATACTATTATAAATAACTAATTAATATTGTAAAAAATAATATATTAAAACTTATATGTATTAAATATTATCATTTATTATATATGATGATTTCTCAAATTCGAAATTACTTTTTAAATATTCTTACTTGCATAAAGCGCTCCTGTTTATAGTTTGATTAGTCTAGGAAAGCTATTTTTGGAGAAAAATTAGCATACCTTTAGAACTCAATCTTGAAAACAGTTAAAAAAATAATTAAGCTCAAAATTTTATAAAAAAATAAAATTTTTATTGTGTTATTTATTTTTATATTTCTTTTCATTTTTCAATACAAATAGTGGTTATATTTTTTTTTCAGTGCAATCATTTATTTAATACATACATATTTTCATCTTAAATTCCTTCAATTAAAATTTGAAGAAAAAATTATATTAAATGATGGGTTATAAAGATTATTTATAAATAAACTGCAATATAACTAGTTAGTAGTTATTTTAAAATATACTTTTCAAAAGTAACTTTTAACAACACTAATTAGAACTTGCCATTCATTTTTTCCCCCAAATATTGGATACCAATACCAACAGATATTTTTAAAGATAGAAGTAAAAGGTCTGATATTTTTAAACATAATTTTTTTTATCCATCTCTAATAAAGATTTGCCAAACCCGGTTATTTTTAATATCTAGATCTAATTCTTCAATTAAAGCTTATATCTCTCCTCGGTGGCTATCTATCTCTTTCTACGACAACCGTTTTATAAATCAATTGTGTTTGATATCTGTATTGTGTATTTGTAATGAGATCTTTTGATAAAAAACCTGTTTCATTTTTTTTTGTATTGAATATTTACTATTATTTTTAGATTTAGTATTTTAGTTAGACAGCTCTTAGTTGTTAAAAGATATTTTTTAAATGGATCTAGATACAGATACATCGTTTAAAAATTTATCTAGATACAGATTACAGCTTCTAAAAAGTTATCTTGATACAGATACAATTTAAAATGTATCTATGTACAGATACATTTTTTTATTATACTCTTAGATAAGGTTTGAATAAATCTAAATTAGGATTCTATTGTGAAAATTCATGAAATGATCTAAAAAATTTATTGACTCGATATCACATTTATCAAAATATAACTAAAATAATGATTTTAGATATTAATATAATATATGATTAATATAAATAATTTTATATATCATTAATAAAATAATATAATATATGATTAAATGATTATAAATAATTATTAGATTTCAGTAACAACTACTGTCTATCGGCAAATTATATTTTTTTGTGGAGTTAATGTTTTGATCATTTTTATAAATAAGGATTTTCAACAATTGAAAATGGCTGAATGCTATGTATAATAAAATCAGTTATTAAATCATCTAAAGTGGTTTGGGTTAAAGTCTGAGGTCTCTTGGAAAAAAAATCAATGGACGATGAGCCTAGTCCAATATTTTCTTTAATAGATTTTTTTTCCTTCCCCTTTTTTATTTGGATTAAGAGTGTTTGATGTTTTCTCTTAAAATTGTAAACATTTATTTAGTATCTATACCCTTAAATGTTTTACAATGTTGCAAGTTGTGGTAAAGCTAACTAAAATTTGCATATTTTTTGGTAGACATGGCAAACATTTTACTAACAAAGATTTGTTTTCTTTATTTTGAGATATTATTTTAAAATATGGTTTATAAATTGGTCATGGAAGAATGTCGTCATTTTCGTCATCAATATTAATCTTAAAAATTAATATAATAATTAATAAAATATAATAAAATACCAATTCCATTTCAATTAAAAATGGCAAATTCCTTGAGATGGATTGTAATATCAGAATTTGCTTGTTATTGATAACTCGGACATAATATTTAATTAATATTAAAAAATTATATATATATGTAAAATATTAAAACTTATATATAAATTGTTATATGCTCATATGAAATAAAATAAATTTTATATTCAAGTATTTTTATTTATAATATAAAAAAGCGTTAAATAGAAGTATATCAAAATGTATCTTAAAAAGTATCTGAAAACAGATACAGATACCTCTAAAATAATATTTAGATACAGATACCATATTTTTGTATCTAGATACTTTAACAACTCTGCTATTAATACCAAGAAATAAAAATATTATAATTTATTCTCAAATAGTAATCAAAATATAAGTTTAAAATATATAATATATCAAAATTTTAATTCCCGGTTTGGCCTATTAAAATTATTTAAGAAAAAAAATCAGAGATTTGTGTTATATGAATAAATTGTCCGGCCCTGTTAGTTAAATTTATAAAAATATTTACGCGGCCCGGTCACAATAATTGCTAGATCTCGTTTTTTAGAAATCTAACATTTGACGTAACTTTATTAAATTATTATTCATTATAAATCCCTGCCAGGATCTGGTTAAACAAAATTAATATTTAAAAAAAATAGTATATAGCGATCGATATAA